CACCCTTCTACAGGATCACTGCTTCAACAGAACCACATCTATCACTCCAAGAAAACTGCAGCCACCATTTAATCAGACTACTACCAACACCTGACCAACAGAGTGTCGGGTCCTATTCTGAATCTGTCAGTGTTGTTTTGTATTACTGCATTTCTATTTTAATTTTTTTCCCCAAATAAAAACTGTTATTCCTACTCCCATATCTTTACCTAAGAAGCTCTTATTTCAAAATTATAATAATTCAGAGGGAGGGGATTTACATTCTCCATTTCAAGGGAACTTCCTGCCTCCCTTAGCAGACACCTGTCTTGTCAAATTGAGACAAGGAGCCACAAAAGAAATTGTGCTTCAGGGTTTTTCATACCAGTGCTATTTTGAGTCATATTTAACCAAGGAAAGAAAGGAAGGAAAGATTTGAGGGGATGACAGACTGCCCAATGTAACTTTAGTTCTTTGATTTCAGGGAATATTGGTAAATGATGCTGTTGCGCCTGTCAGAACCTAGGATAGTTATTGTACAGCTTGTGCCTGCTACAACTTAATAATAAAATCCCAGAATTCCAGAATGACTGCATCCAAAGAGTAAATTACTGTTACACATCATGGCAACTTTATTTTTAATAATAATATTTTTTTAGGCCAGCTGGGAATGTAAAGATGTGGCCTTACAGGGTGATCTCTGGGAGACACTGACCCCTTTTCACTTGTAAACCCCAAGGAGTTTTTCTCCATCAGTTTTTTTTTTCTAGTTGCATTTTTAGCTGCTTTCTAGAGTTTATGCTGGACAGTTTCTGCTGAAGGGTATAAAATAGCACTGAATACACTGGATTTTTATATGGTTGTTTTTGCAATTGTTATGGGAAGATTGAAAGTGGAAAGCAATAAGAATTTCTGGAGAGACTTTCTGAGACTTTCCTGATTCATAGTTGAAATTGTTGCCTCTCTTTTTTTTCTAGCCCTCAAATTTGTATTATGTTTTGCTAGTCCAGAAGCTTCTGAAAATGACAAAATGTTATGTTTCAATTCCATAAATCCAGCATAACCTTGTGCCACTTGGCAGCATCACTCAAATGTACAGTTTGGATGTTGTTGCAGTTGCTGTTGCCAGAGGAAATGTTCTTTTTAAAAAGAAATACTGAGAAGAACCCCCATGCCTGGCATGTCAGTTCCTGTCCTAGAGCTTCTGGAGCTTTTTCCCCTGCTTCCTGCCTTGCCACCTCCCACCTTTCTCCTCCCTTTGCCCCATCTGCCAGTTTCTGATTTAGACAAGAAGGGAGATGTGCTGTGACTGATTTAGAGCATGTGCTGATTTGCCAGCTGGCTGTTATCTCAGAGCTGGGGGGTCAGCCAGACAGGAGAGATAAAGGCTGAGCTCTGCTCTCCTCTCCCCAGCCAGGGTTCACCTCTGCTCCTTTGCTGGGGTGTTTTCCCCCTCATCATTTGCACAATCTGAAATATACAGTTAGGCTTACTAAACCTTCCTTCCCCCTATTTGAGCACAGAAAAACTGGGTGTTACTAAAATGCCACTATTAACTATGGTTGAACAGTTTATTGTGTTTGAATATGTAATTCAATTATTCTGTTAAAAAACTGAAGCAGCAGTGGTATTGCACATGCACTGATGGTCTCAGCTGGGACCTGCTCTGATTTTATTCATATTTTTACATTGTGCTTGATATCTGTAGAACCACCAGAATTCTTACAGAAGAACAAGTGTGTCCTGATCAAGAAGCTGGATCAGGACACGTTTACACTGTGTAAGAGGTAGTTTAAACAGAAATTATTACCTAAGCTCCATGTCTTCATTCACTCTCAAGACAGCTTATATATTCATGGTATCACCAAATTATTTGAGTTGGAAAAGACCTTAAAGATCATCTTGTTGCAATTTCTTGCAGCATATAAAATACTGTTAAATGTAGGATGTTGTTTTGGAGTAGTCTTTCTCCATTTTTAATTTTAGAATTAAATTAGATGCATTAGATTCCCTCTACTTCTGTTTGACATTGAACTGAGAAGAGATAAAAGAAGGGAGTTGGCGAATTCCTGTCAGACTGGATACAAGTGAAAACAAGTAGCTGGAAGCATCTCAGTGACATCCTTCAGTGGCTGAAAGATAACTTTTCTCTCCCTGCCTTGGATGCTTCTGCTGTATCTGAGATGGATGTGAATTTTTGGCTGTTGGCCAAGGAGCTGCCTGCACCTCGGAATGGCAGCATCCTTGGGGATGGAAAGGGACTTGGGACAAGGGATGGAGGGACAGGACACAGGGAATGGCTTCCCACTGCCAGAGGGCAGGGATAGATGGGAATTTGGGAAGGAATTGCTGGCTGTGAGGGTGGTGAGGCCCTGGCACAGGGTGCCCAGAGGAGCTGTGGCTGCCCCTGGATTCCTGGAAGCTTCTCTGTGCCAGGGCCTCCCCACCCTCATGGGGAACAATTCCTTCCAGATATCTCAACCTAAATTTCCCCTCTTCCAGTTTGAACCCATTCTCCCTTGTCCTGTCACTCCAGTTCCTGATGAACAGTCCCTCTCCAGCTTCCCTGTCACCCTTCCAACACTGGAAGGTGCTGTGAGGTCTCCACACAACCTTTTCCAGGCTGAACAGCCCAAAATTCCCCAGCCTGTCTCCTTAGGGGAGGTTCTCCAGTCCTTTTATGAACCTTGTGGCCTCCTCTGGACTTGCTCCACCAGTTCCATGTCCTTCCCTTGCTGGGGACACCAGAACTGTGTGCAGTTTCCAGGTGGGGTTTGACAAGAGCAGAGGAAGAAAGTCACCTCCCTGTTCTCGGCAAGTGTTCCTGTCATGTTTTGTTGTAGGAGATCCTTCCCTGCTGTGTGGGTGGTGCTGTTCTTGGTATTTTACCTTTTCCTAACCTCTGGTATGGACAGGAGCATTTGGGTGTGAACACCCAGCACTCCCAGTGTGTCCTTGCAGCCAACCAGGCTGCTGTGGGTGCTCTATTTCCCCATCTATTCAATTCCCAAGGGATTTTGCATCAAGCTAAAAATCTTTTTATGGTTTTCTGGGCCCAGCACGCAGCTGCAGCATTAATGGCCTCATATGTTCACAGCACAATGTATGTGATGCAGGCTGCACCCTTAATGCTTTCCTTGGGGAAACATTTGTCCCATTTATTCTCTTTGTGGTCAGAAGTACATCACACAAGCTGCAGCGCTGTGTAGCTGTGCTGTGTTTTGTGGGGATTCTGTTCCCTCACGTTTGGATTAAACAAGACCCAAGACCTGGGTTTGTATGTTTGTGCAGCCCTTCAGAAAATGAAATACTTAGCTCAGACTAAAGGTCTTAAGTTAAGCTTGATGATACACAGCCCTGTGTAATCCATCATCTTAAAATTGTATGTGTGATAGAACTTCTCAGATTATATCCTTATGGCTGCTTTAACCCAAATACTCAATAATATGCCCTATATTGAGGGCTGGGCAGATCAGCTGGGTTGTTGCAATATAATCCTGCCTTGGAATTGGGCTGGGGAATGTGAGCAGGGCAGTGTCACATCTGTGAGTGCTAAACTCAGACTCTGAATCCAGGCTTGCTGCTCCCTTTGTTTTACAAGGAGCAGGTTTTTGTAGGAATAGTAATTAACCTGCCCTGTAAGCAGAGCTTCCCTAAAGGCAGTTTCCATTGAAGTCCTGCAGCAAAATGCTCCGTGAGCATTTCAGAGCACAGAAAGCCATGAAAATGCTCTTGTGTCTCTTGGAGGGGGATCCAGAGGGGCTCTCTGGAGTCTCCTTTATCTGGATCAAAGCCCCAGAGGAGATTCCCTCAATAAAATCCACCCAGGAGTAACAGTCTAGAGTCCACACCAAGCTGGCTGCCAGGACTTTGGGAGAGCCTTTATTTCAACTAAGCCAGATGGCAGAGGAAAAGGGGTTATGTTGTCATTGCTGACTTGGATGACCCCGTGACACGGGGTGACCTTGACTTAAATAATCATCCTGCTCTCCCAAGTGCCTGTCATTCCTGTTCTGTCAAACAGATACAGCAGATCCAGGCACGAGTGAAAAGGGGTGATGGATTTGTGTAATAAATTACTGTTTTTGAGAGACAATGCTCAGAAATTAGTATTTCTAAATTCGCTTCTCAAGCCCTGTGAGCAGCAGGAGCTCTGAGGGTAATCCTGTGTGGCTCCCATGTCTTTCTCCTGCTCTGTTCAAAAGAAATCAGTGTTGCTTGTCACAAGACTTTACTCGTTGCTGATGTCAAGAGTTTCCTAATGTCATTTGGAAGGTCCAGGACGAGGGGAATATCAGTGGCTTGTTGTGTGTTTGCTGCTTTTCTCCAGCCTGTGATGTGGGGAGGCTGCATAACCTGCAGTCATCCACTGGGGCCGTGCTGGTATTTTAAAGGTCACTCCAGTAATTTTGTGCTTGCTTAAAAACAAATAAACAAAACCCCCCAAACTTTTAAATTTTGCACATAACAGAGTAGAAGAATTGCTGTTCTCTGCTCATTCTTTTGGGGAAGCAAATGTTTGCTCTGCTGTCCCAGCGACCAGAGAGAGCTGGGTTGGGCAAGCCCAGGGGCTGGACTCTGAAATTTCCTCTTGAATAACACTCCTGAAGTTCCTGTACAAGTGGTTTTGGAAATTTTTATGTTGCTTGGGTACTTTGTTTTTAAGAGGCAGTGACACCCAGAGAGAGGGAGAGGTGTCTCAAGAAAAATAAACCTGTGAGAGAATGAGGAAGAGATGCAGCATGAGGAAAATCAGTGGCTTTGAATTTTAAATCAGCTCTGAGCAGCATCTCAAATCATGCCCCTGAAAAGGTTTATAAAATGACTTGGGATCTGTAAGCAAGGAGAGATCTGAGGACAGAAATGTACTTTTAATACAGCATTCCAGTGATTAATGATAGCACAATTAAGCTGAAATCACTACAACTAACAACAACTAACTGTTTTTCTTTTGTCTTTTTTTTTTTTCTTCCCCTGACCTTGTACCAAATCCTTTCCACTCCCGATGCATTGGGGAACAGCAGAACTCACCCAAAGGTAAGGGCTTTTATCAGTGTGTGAGAGCTGTCCTATCACTTGATCACCCTTGGGTTATCCAAATATTAAAAGCATTTTGCACAGCTCTGTTGCTGATCAGCTGCTGAGTAAGAAACTCGAAGCATCTTCTTGCTGCAGAAATGCTCTGTACAGCCTGTGCCAAGAAATGAGTCAGAGGAACAAATGAGAACATCCACACTCAGCACTGCAGACTCTGAATGGAGGATATTTGTTCTTTGTGGGCTTTTTAAAAGCATTTTCTGGTATTTGTGTTAAAGCAAACTCATTTTGTTTCTGTGGTCCCGTGACTTTGTGCTTGTTCTGAAGACTCTGCCCTGCAGATCAGGGTTCAGCTCTATGGATGTGCTCATACAGCCAGTGATGTTTTATTAAATGTTCTGAAGGCTTGGGATGCTTTCATAATATGTTTAGCTGTAAAATGAATTCAGCGTTAAAAAAAAAATTTTAAAAAAGAGCGCCTTAATTTTTAATAAACAAGTTGTTGTTTCCTCAGTTAGAGGATATAAAATAACTACTTTATCTCTTGATGCTGGTACATCAGTGTAGTATGGGGGGGAAACAATGTATTTTTGAAGATAAGTTATTTAAATTTCAAGGATTTTGCTGTGTTAAGCATTTTCATAAATGATGGTAGTCAACAGTGTAGCAATGCAGGACACCCAAAGGGGAAAGAGCAGCTTCCATTAAGCTTAGAGGGGAAATCCAGAGCCAGAGAGCCCCACATTGCACTTCCCTTTTCCTAATAAATTTTGCCTGTGTGAATGTAGGTCAGACATTGCCCTAATTAATATTTTTTCTTGCAGATACATACCTAGGGGAGCTGTTTTTGCAAACATCTGTCCCAAAATACACATTGTATTATTTCAGGTCATCTTTCAGGACGAAAAGTGCCTGTGGACCTTATGATGGATTTATGGCAAAATTGAAAGTTTTCTATTAAAAATATTATAGTGCTGCTCTTTTCATTATAAAACTGATTTGCTTTCTATTATTCTTTGCAAATATTAGACTTTGGTGGCTGCTTTGGTTTGTCATGGAATGTAAATAAATACGTACTCCTCTTGCATGGAAAGAGCTTCCCTACCCTAAGGCTTGTTTTTAATTTATGCAGACAAGAGGCACGGGGAGATGGGAGGCAGAAAGAGCTAGAGGACATCTGTCAGTTTGCTAAAAAGAAACTCTGGTGAAAAACGAATTGCAAGGATGGGTTTGGAGGGAGAAATGGAGAGGTCCTTGACATCCACTGGGTTGGCACATGGAGAGTGGGGAGTAGGGTTGGCACAGAAAGGAGCAAATAGAAACAAGGAACAAATAAAAGTATACAGGAAAATGAAGTTTTTGTTTAGGCTTCAAACACGTTAGAAACACGTTAGAAACGAAGGAATTCAGTGGGAATGTGTGTTGAGTTCAGAATGTGAATAACAGTTGGATTTGGCAGTAGCTGTTCTAAGGTGTCCTGGTTGTTTCCCTGCAGGTGTTTGCATATGATCACTGCTTTTGGTCTATGGATGAATCTGTCAAAGAAAAATACGCAGGTAATAATATTTACTGTGGCTTGGTTGTCTCCAAGTGGGAATGATCTGATTAAAATACAGTCCTTGCTGCAGGGCACCGGCCATATGGCACAAAGTGCTGTCCCTTCTATGACTGACTGCTGTCAAAAAAGGGAAAATCTTCAATCATTCCAGTTTCTTTTCTCTAAAGATGACAATAGCAATGGGCACTGCCACCCCTTTGCAGTGCAGAGAGTGGAGAAACCCAGCACAATGATGCTTTACTCCTGTTTATAGCTTTATTTAAAATACTGACCCAACTCCATCATTTTAAATGCATCAAGCCCATTTATTTCTTTTGAGGAGCATTGTTATATGTAATTTCATGTTTTTCAGTGCTGATGGGAGTTTGGCATCATAGTAAAACCCAATAAAAGAATATTAATAAAATATTAATAAAAGCCTAATTTCATTTAAGTGTATGTGAATTCAGATGCTTTAGTGAGAACATGTCATGTATTCAGTTAAAAGTTGTCTGTGTATTATTATAAATCATTTTGGCATATACTTATGGTAAAATATGAACTGTATTTGGACTTATCACTCCTATAATTTATTCTGTTCATAGTTGTTATCCTTTAAAATTTGGGTTCAATTTAACTTAATATTTATTTCATAAAAATCATAAGAAAAATCAAAGACACATGCACTTCTTCATTTTCATTTCTTTAACAAATAACGATAATAACCTATGAAGGCACTGAGAAAAATGTGACACTTTCAGCCCTACAAATTACAAAGGAATATTGCATGCTTTGTTTCTCAAACTAAAGGTGGTGCCTGTATAACTGATATTTTGGTCTGTTATAATAGTGGAGGTGTTACCCCAGCTGAGCCTGGCACAGCTTTTGGTGCACAGCTTTTTGATGGGGAATTTAGCATGGATTTGGCTGTAAAGATAGGAACTTTAATGAGAGAAAGGAAGAGCTTAAAGGAACATTTTTTAAGAGGACTTTTCAGTCCATAAAGTTCTGTCATGCCTTGTTCAGACTTGAGTTTTTCTGATTGTAAAATTAATTCTGAAAATAAATTTTGTTCAAGTAGTTACTACCCAGATATTTTAAGCCTTCCTTCCTCTGCTTGGAAAATGATCCAAAAGCTCAAAGTTCAATTACAAAATAAGTGTTACACTTTACTTTTTGCCAGTGCAAAATACCCTGTGAATATCCATATCTTCCACATACTTGTGATTCCTTCTCTGCAAAAATCTCCTCGTGATATGATCCAATATCTTACACAGTAAAATTTTCCAGTGCTCTGCTGATTCCCTTAGATTAAAATCAACTGACTGTCATTAAAATATGCAGCTTGAGTATATTTTGAGGAAGTGTCATTCCCCAGCAGATTAAATTCTGCAGTTGGCCATAGATTCTCTGCTGATAAAACTTCCGAGTATGAACCTTGATAGGATATTTGCTTTAAGCACATCCAGGTATATCCATGGTAATCCCAGCCCCTAATTTTTACAGCAGCATAAATCTGGAGCACATCTTCTGCTCCGTTCCAGGGAGCAAACACTGGATGTGATTTAGGCAGCAACAGCAGGAAAACCCTCACCAAAAGAAAAATCCAAATCGAGGGACAAAAAGCTCTTGCTGTGTTACAATGTTGGCTTGTGTGTTCTGTTTTCTAGGTCAAGATGTTGTTTTCAAGTGCCTTGGAGAGAATATTCTTCAGAATGCCTTTGAAGGCTACAACGCTTGTATCTTTGCCTATGGGCAAACGGGTGAGTCCCAGAGTAAGGGAGAAGTGTTCTCTCCAAAGGTGTTGTGTTCTGGCTGGAGGTTCTTTCCACAGCTCTTGTGACATTGTTTGAGGAGAAATACCTTCTGACGTAGATAAGAAATGTTTTCCTCTTTTGTAACATCAGATATGAGGTGGGCAGGATGAGAAGCAAGGTTTTGTTGCTGCTGGCTACCCTTATTTCTCACACTTCATGTTATAATCTTTGGCATGACCATGGTTGTCCTTGAGCTGAGAGCATTGCTCAGATTTTCTGCCTCTGTGCTTAAAATAATCTGGAATTGTCATTTTAATGTAGTATATAAAGAGTAATGCAGAGAGTTTTCTCATCTACAGTAAGGCTCTATCTACCTAAAAGTTCTCCTGCACTCTGAACCAAATTTCTTGTTTTCCTTTTAATTAAAATAATCTGTAGCTCAGTGGTGTTTGGGTTACTTTAAGGCAGAAAATAGAACAAATATCTTCTACTGAAATGAAAAAAAAAATTAAGCTCTTTTATTTCCTATCAATATTCTGCACAGCAGGAACCTTTGTTGCATGTTCTCTAATCACACTTCCCTCACACAGGGTCTGGAAAATCCTACACCATGATGGGTACTGCTGATCAGCCTGGATTAATCCCTAGACTTTGCAGTGGACTCTTTGAAAGAGCACAGAAAGAAGAAAATGAAGAGCAGAGTTTCAAAGTGGAAGTATCCTACATGGAGATTTACAATGAGAAAGTCAGAGATCTCCTTGACCCCAAAGGGTATGGAATTTGTGTGTGAATGGCACTGTAGTATTTGTCCTACACTCTTCTTTTACATAACCAGTTTGCCTTAATGGATCCCGTCTAAAACATTTGCCTAGGATGGCTTTTGCTGCTTCCTGATCTCAGCATCTCCTCATTATAAATCAAAATAAAGTAGCAAGACTAAAAGCTTGGATTAAATGTACCTTTTGTGAGGTGACAACACTGTCTGTGTCAGCTTTTTACATGTTATAAAGCTTTTTTTGTGTTTGCATTCTGGCCCTTGCTCTGTGCTTCAGTGGGTGTTTGTGAGACCATCCTGTTTGAGATATGTCAGTGAAAAATGGACTTTGTGTAAATGTTGTCTTAAGTCAGTCATGTGCTTATAAATCCCTTTTTTTTCCCCCAACCAGAAGCCGTCAGTCATTAAAGGTTAGAGAACACAGTGTTTATGGCCCTTACGTAGATGGCCTATCCAAACTAGCTGTTGCTAGCTACAAGGTAAGGATCAACTTTATGAAAGGCTTATCTTCACACCCTAAACACCAGGTGCTGTCCCTTAAGCTGGACAGAACTACTAAAATGCTCCTTATCAGTAATCTTAGAGCAAGAGAGCTGCAGATTGTTGTGTTGTGATCCCTGGGGAGAGCAGGGCTAAGAGCAGAAACTCCCTTCATCTCGTGCTGCTCAATAATTCTGGAAGTAATTCAGCTGCTGAATGGAACAGATTTCCTCTCAGCATTAAGATGAGTGCAAACTGTCATGAGAAAGTGTTCTGTGATTAATTACAGGCCCAGGATTAAGCAGAGACAGGCTCTCAGTGCCCCACTGTGTCACTTTTTGCCTGTCATGCTCTACTCAGTAATTTCCCTTCCCAGTAGCACACGCTGGAATTATGAGCTAATGGTTGTTTACCAAGCAAATACCTGAGAGCATCACATGAAACTGGCTTGCAGGACAGTAAATGTTTATATTTGCATTCACAAAATGCCCTGTTTTTAAAGGAGCTTTAACTTACTGTGGTGAAAAAGGATAAATATGGGATGGAATCTGTCAGCTTAACCAAAACATGAAGAGAGTGCAATTACAGTTTTTCCAGGTGTTCATCCAGCTGTCCGTGGTGGTTTCTGCTAAGACAGGACACATTTCATGCTTTGCCTTTCCATGTTGCCCAGCAGCTTTTTGTAATCCAGAATTTGGAGTCAGTGGTCTGTGGTGGTCCTTTGTTTGACTGTTTATTTGAGTTGTTTCAGCATCACCCAGCTAGAGATGCAGAAATAGAAGTTCAGCCCAAGACCCCAGGGTTTTAACTATTTTACACAATTGCTGTGAAACCCCAAAGCAGGGGAGCTGCACCTTTGTCATGCATCACAACAGATCAAAACACTTAATAAGTTGTTAAAATTTGAAGGAATATAGTGTCCTGCTCAGCATGGTTCTGTTTTATAAACCTCTGAGCCTTCTGTTACTATTCCAGATCCTCAGACCATGACAGCTTGAGGCTAAAATGTGACAGGGTTCAAACACAAATTGCTGTTCCTCACTTCTGTCTCTGCTTTTGAGTGTTGCTGTGTGCAGCCAGGTGCATTATTTTTGTTGATAATTTAATATCTAGGTTGAGGAGTGGGTGGAGTCATGACACTGTGGAGTTTCTAGGCTTTAAAGGGAGGGATAACTTTGATTTTTTTTTTCATTGCATTTTTCTGAATAAACAAACGGGAGGCTTAGCAAGAAAATGCTGTATTTGACCAAGATGGGATGATTTTTGGAGGTAATTGAAAAGGATGTCAATGCAGATATGCTCATGGCTGTGAAAATTGTATTTAGGACATCGAGTCCTTGATGTCTGAGGGGAACAAATCTCGGACAGTGGCTGCCACCAACATGAATGAGGAGAGCAGTCGGTCCCACGCTGTCTTCAAGATCATCCTCACCCACACCCTCTATGATGTGCAATCAGGGGTAAGAAAATCCAGCTGCAAGGTCCAAATGTAAGGCTGGGATGTGTCTCTTGCTCTAATGTATTTCATAGGAAAAGAATCACTTCTTTGGAAGCAGCAGTTTGTAGTACAGGCTAAACATAAAATAGGTGAAAAATAGAAATACGCCCAAGTGTACCTTTGGTGATCCCCTTCCCATGATTATTTAAGGCAAATTGGTATAAAATACCAACTTTCTAAATTAATGCAATTTTGTGTCAATTATCAACTTTCTAAATTGAAAAAAATACTCATTTTAAATATTTTGCATTGTATGCCATTAATGCTTTTATGTGTAAATATTAAATATTGAAAAAGCATTTAAAGCTTCAAATATCTTAATTTATGTTTCCTTATACATAAATATGCCTTGGAGGGGTGTGTGAACTACATTATTTCAATATTATTTAGTCCTCACAGAAAATGGTGATAAACTGGAATTTAAAGAAGTATCTTCAGAAGAAACTTCATTGATAGATTCTGTGCCTGGACAATTCTTTAATGTTTCAAAGCCTTGGAGAAATTTTGAGTGTTTACAGATCAAATCTGAGCCTAAATATTGAATATATTGGAAAGCATAACAAGAATTTGGGCTTTTTTTTCCTCCTAATGTTTCAGTTTCCACCAGTCTTCTTATCCACATAAATTTCCTCATTCTTTATTTGGATTTTTTCCCCCTTTGCACTTCAAATCAGCATCATACTGTGCTGAATTTTTTTGATTTTTCCATAATTTGTCATTCCAGTTTTGCTGTGGCTCTTGTGCATGCTTTTCATACCTGGTTTTTGTGTGGTGCTGCTCAGCCTGGATGCAGAGTGGCTGTGACTGTCCATGTTCTCTGCACCTTCCAGTGACCCCTGTGTGAACTTCTGCAACACATTTCCCTGTTCTCCCATCTGCTGGTCCTTTCAGTCCTGGAAATGGCACGTTTCATGATCACATCATATTTTGATAGGTTTAGGGTGTAATTTTTGAGAGCTTATTGTTTAATTATTCCACTCATTTATGGGGATCCTGGGGTGCTGAAGGTGCAGATGCTGCAGAAGAACATGACGTGAGCAAGCTGTTCTCAAAGACAGTTGGCTCTTCAATTTCAAATTGATTTAGGGGGTTCATGGAGTGTTTCAGAATGTCAGTTTGGGTCAAATGAGATGAAAGGATTTGTAACAAAATCTGCGTTACAGGTTTACATACTCACATAGCTGGGGTTGTGTTCCAGGAGGCTGATAAGGATAAAGGAGACTTTGCAATTGTGATAATTTATGTAAATTACAACGTGCTTCTCATCAGGTTCATTCCTGATCACTGAAAAACAGAAGAAACCCTGGTATAAAATCCGAGGATTTTAGGAGATTGTTTTCAAGATGGGATTGTGAACCTCCTGTCTCTGCTTGTGACTCCCTTGGCATAACTCTGAATTTTTCATGGTTCATTGGTGTGCCCTGTGTACATCTCCTCTGGAGATTTCTGAGATATTTGAAGATATCAGAGTACCTGACTTCACAACATTCATAACTTCCCTGTTGTTTCTGAAGCAGCAGGTAGTGACAGCACAGGACAACTGTTCAAATCCAGCCATTCTCAAAGGGGTTGGAACAAGAGTTTATACCAAAAATGAAGTTTGATTGCTGTTGTAAAATACATCAAACAGTGCAACTTGATTGAAGTGACCTAACAGGGGCTGTTCTCTGGTTCCTTCCCCAGACATCAGGTGAGAAGGTGGGCAAGCTCAGCCTGGTGGACTTGGCAGGTAGTGAAAGAGCAACTAAAACTGGTGCTGCAGGAGACAGGCTGAAAGAGGGAAGCAACATTAACAAGTAAGACTTGGAGATTATTTGTTTTCCTTTTTTTCATCACTATTTCCTGCTAAATACAGCCTACTATGAAGCTCCTGTAGTCAATTTTCTCCTTTTCTTCTCTCTACAAAGCTCCTGTAGTCAATCTTTTTCCTTTCCTTCTCTCTATTTCTCCTTCTGACATGCAGTACTCTTCGATACGGGAATAAGATCTCCATCTTTTAAAAAAATATTTGTGTTCCTGCAGCTACCATGAATTTCATTGTGAAGACCTGATTATTAAGACTGAAAACATACTGAAAAAAATAGGAGTGGTGCTTTTGTGAAGAAAGAATGATCAAAATTAAACTAGGAATTTTTTCCTCAGAGCATATTTTCAGAGAAAAAGTCACTGTCTAAATATGCATTTGACTTATGAATATTTACCCTTGTTAATAACTGTTTGTGTTCTCTGGGCAGATCCCTCACAACTCTGGGGCTGGTTATTTCTGCCCTGGCAGATCAGGCTGCTGGCAAGAACAAGAACAAATTTGTTCCATATCGTGATTCTGTGCTCACTTGGTTACTTAAAGTAAGTAAGGAGGTTTTTTTAATCTTCTTTTTTAAAGTGAAATAAAAGAGAGGAAAGGGGGAGAAGAGTCTCATTGAATGAAATCAAAATTCTGTGCTTTTTGCCTCATTTCCTGGGTTTGATGTTAACCATAATTGTCTTTGGAAAATGAGCTGGATGTAAGCCATTAGTATCTCTGCAGACTAAATATGAGTCTTCTGCTGACCTGCAATGGCCTCAGGATTAAGGAACTTTAAAAATAAAATTAAAAGCAGTGTATATTTTATGGGTCAGTGTAAGTACAGCCTCACACACAACCTTGGGGCTAATTTAATTTGGGTTATTTCTGCATACAGCTGATTTTGCATCCTGGTATGCTTAGCTCTGAAGATGTTGATTAAGACAATTACCATTTCCTAATTGTCTAATTTAATTGTTAAGATATTTTACTTTTGTCGGCAGAGTATAATTGCAGGGCATTATCCCAGTTACAGTCTGAGGAACAGGTCAGGAGACTTCAGAGATGCTGTTCATGTAAATGAGCAGTTAAATAATTTTCTGAACTGTACAGGACTCTTATTTGATCTTTTTTGGGGGGAAAAAGGAGTTTTTCATGATGGCACTTGGTTGAACATATGTACAGTCTAAATGAAACCAAAATTGTTAAATATGAGATCTATATAAGTCAAAGTTCTTTTTTTTTCCCCTTGTGCTCTGTTTAATTGTTATTCATGAGCAACTGAGATACTTATTGGTAGAAAGAAATAATCTGAGAAGAAACTGATTTGTAGCATCACCAGCCTTTCTTTGTCCTCTTACTTTTTTGTAGGTGCTCTGGCTGTACTTTGTTGTCTTGGCTTCCCCACCCTTTCTTAGCAGTGTTTTTAGATGTTGTTTAAATTGCATATCCCTGGGATTTAACTGCATAGAAAGAAAAAGAGAAAGTGACTTGCAGGTTGTACAGAAGTGTGGAGATTAAAAAAAAAAACCAACATTTTTTCTTGCGGAGATTTGAAAACAAAGATGAATTCAGTGCTTAAGTAAAACAAAATCCCTGCTGTTGTAACCTCTTGACACACAAAAACGTTCATTTTTCTCAGTGCTGCCTTTTAATGAACCTTTTAGCATGACTTGTGAAATTATTTATCCCCAACAGATCTGGACATCAAATAGCCATGTAAAAATCTAAATGGCACAACACAAACAGTGTCTGAGTAAAACAAGTTCTCACAGCACAGTGTTCTTGCACTGAGGCTTTTTCAGTGTTTAAATACATTTTTGCCTCTCTGTATTTACACTGAGTTTTTTACTCTCATTTAGAAGAAACAAATAATTTTTTTGTCTCTCTGCAATTTGGCACCAAAGCTCCTGCACAGCTTCCCTTCACCCCGGCGCACTCTGGGTTCCTGATGTGGCTGCAGCAGGGTGGAAACCTCCCTGATGAATTTCCAGCCTTGTTGGAATTAGTTCTGCTGCTCCATTTCTAAACAAATCCAGGGAGCAGACTGCAATTCCTGTTCAGCACCTGTCTGAGGCATTGTGGCCACGGTGCCGCCGGCCGGACGCGGCGCAGGAATGGGAGCCCACTTTTGTTCTGCCTCCTTTCAGGCAAACCCTCTTTGTGTCCAACATCAGCCACAAAAGGCTTGGGGGCTTTTGGGCTTTTTTAACAAACAAGCTCTGATTGGAGCTTTGTTTTGAAAGGGGGAACATTTAAACTTTTTTTTAATTAGAGATCAAAGGAGGGATTTATTCGTTTAAAGGGGCCTGTTTGGAGAAGCCATCAGATGGTGGGCTGAGCTTTCTCCTTGGCTTTCAACTTGTAATTATGATACCAAAGCAGACTGAATGTGTTCTAACTGCAGGAATCTCTGTCATACAGTGTCTCTCCACAAATCTGAGCAATCAGTTCAGGAGACCTCAAGATCTTAATTTTTGCTTAATTTTGCTTAATTTTGTTGAGGATTTTAGACAAAAGTGCCATTTTGAAAAATATCATTGCTTGAGCAGTAGCATCAGGTTATGTGCAGGGAGCACAATAGCTTTGGCAGTTCTCTAACTATTGGTTTTAATCAAATTTTATTGGCACACCTTGTTCTCCCGTGTTAATCAGAATCCTGATGGCTGCTATTAAAAATATAATTTCTAAGCTCTACATTTTGAGTTGTTTTCACAGTAGTCTTACTGCTAGAGGAGAAAAATTTAGTTAATTCTTAGAAATAACTTATTTATTTATTTCCATTCTGTCTCTTTAACACATGCAAGCCCAGCCTTGCCAGGCTGGTTTACAGACTCTTTTCACTAATGAGAGGCTGACTTGCTATTTTTTCACCTTTCTTGCTTATCATTAAAGAAACCAGTGAAATCAGCTCATGGGTTTTATGCATAAAACTTTATCAGACAGTCTGGCATTGGGCTTGAATTGCTACAAGAGGGACTTTGCCCAGTTTATAATGGGCGTATTGTGGGTTCTGGTGTATCACTGTTACAGTGTTCTCAGCTGCCTCTACAGCAGAGCTGCAATTCAAATAATGAATTAATCCTATTTTGGAATTAATTAGTGCAGTGCAGGGCATTCCCAAAGTGCAAACAGTTAAGGTTGGATTTGGAAGGGGAGTACCTGGCCAGCTCCCTGCCAAACTCCAGCTTTTTATGCAGAACAGGGATTGCAGTTGCAGGATGTCATTCCTAATTTCTGGCCAGGAAATCCCATGGAATGAGTCATTTGTGCTCCTGTTAGTCTTAAAGTTTTCAGTTAAAGAAAACATTTCTGTGGTACAGAGAGGACCCTCCCAAGCCATGGATTAATTTGGAGTAAACACTGGCTGATCCTTGGATGAGTAAAGTCACAGTGAGATCAGTCAGCAAGCTGTTCTTTGCTTCTGATTTCTGTATAAATACACTTACCTGCCTGTGCTGACTGTGTTGAACACTATAAATATGCAGAGATTTACATTTCATGTGAGTTCCATGCCCTTTTGCATGACCAGAGACAGCCAAGTGCTGCCAACAGCCTGACTGCTGTCAAACTGGTTTAGGCATCATGCAGCCAATAGGAGAGTCTTGGGGAAATACTTAAAGGGGCATTTTAATGATTGCTGGGGAAAGCTCCACGTGTGCTTTGGAACTGAAATGGTTTGACAAGCAGCTAATGCAGTCAGATTGTTCTAATGGCAATGCCTGACCTACATTTCATGGGTTATTGAAGATGAAAATTAAGAGCGTGTTTTGTCTCAGAAAGGGATATTGGGTAAAAAACAAATAAACAAAAACCCACCCCAAAATTCCAAACAAACCACAGAAACCAAACTGCCACGCAGAAAAAAAACCTGCTGCCCAATTTTTACCTTCATATATCTATATTTGGCTGAAATTGTAAATCATAATCTTATGGTCAATAAAAAGATTGGATCCTTCCTTCCTCATTTCCTTCCTTTCTTCCTTGTTTCCTTCCTTGTTTTGTGCCCTTCTTCTTAACCAAATTCCAGGAGGGTAATTTCTTATGTAACTCAGTTCAGATTTGTGAGCTGTGCCAGCGGGAGGAAGGGACAGACCCCATTATGAATGTTTATAGGAATAAAATCAGCTATATTGTTTATGAAGAGATATTTCATTAATTTATTTCTTGAAGACATCTGTCTTCTAGTCTTTAAGATGAGATAATCTGAATCCATCATGGTTTTTCCTGAGCTCCCTCAGTGCCATCTGAGAAGCTCAGTGCTGAAGTGTTTACATTTTGGTTTGTAAACCTAAGCAGAAAACATAGAGAGAAAACTTTGAATACTTTAAAAAATGAATTCAAAAAGCCCAAAAACAGGGCCTTTTTTTCATTCCTATTGAAAAAAGCCAAGAATATCAAAATCCAAGAATGACATTTCCTTAATGACCTTTCAAAAACAAACACTGAAAATCACGACCTTTCCTTACCTTGCACAGCTTAAACTCTTAACCCAGCAAACCAAAATAAAAATGTTGATTCTAAACCACCCCCTCTCCGTATTCCAGGACAGCCTCGGGGGCAACAGCAAGACAGCCATGGTGGCCACGGTGAGCCCGGCGGCCGACAACTACGACGAGACGCTGTCGACGCTGCGCTACGCAGACAGGGCCAAGAACATCGTCAACCACGCCGTGGTCAACGAGGACCCCAACGCCCGCATCATCCGCGAGCTCCGCGAGGAGGTGGAGAAGCTGCGGGAGCAGCTCACCAAGGCTGAGGTACGGTCTGGGAGCTTTGCACATCCAGGAAACCGCCCCACCAAGCTCAGCCGGCTCTCCGGAGGGGATTTGTCTTGGTTTGAAAAGATAGGTGTCTGCTGAGGAAGGCAGGAGCATGCCTTGAAATGGGAAGTGGAAACCCCCTGCCCTTTGAATTATGGTTTTGAAATTAAGGGGCTCTCAGGCCAAGATATGGGAGTAGGAATAGTGGTTCTTTACTAGGAAAATTAAAAAGAAATACAAATGCAGTAGTACAAAAAGGAAAAGCTACTGACAGAGTCAGAATATGACCTGACACTCTATTGGTCAGGGTGCTGGTAGAAGTCCAATTAAATGGTGGCAGCAAGCAGTCTTCCTGGAATGACAGATGTGGTTCTTCTGTAGAAGGGTGTAGTTTTCCTCTGAGGGTCCAGTGGTGGTGTAGATGGGCCTGGTCTTCCTCTGGGAATCTGGTGAAGAAAGCTGCTCCTCTGGGAATCCAGTGGGAAAATGTTGCCTGTGGTGTTCCAAATCTGAGGTTATATCCAGGTAGGAATGCTTGGCTCCTCCCTCTAGGTGGAGCATCTCCCAGTGGGATGATGTAATTTTATCAGTCATGCAGTGACACTCACTGACCCATGAACAGAAGATATTTCCTAGAGGGAGGATTGGTTATGGAAGAGATAAAGAAAAACTGCCCAATTAACAGAAGATAACTGCCCCACCTCTAACAGATGGGAATAGAATACACACCCCCTGCCACATCTTGTAACCTAAGACAGAATTCCATGAGGGAATGTTGCAGGGCATCCAGGGGATGCTTCTATCTCCCTTTATATAACATTTTTACATTTTTCTGTGTGTCTGTCTTGAAACACGGGCGTTCCTTGAGATGCTGAGCACCTTGTTGAGCATTCTTGGTTTTACTCTGTGATACAGAGGACATGGAGGCATGGATAGTTCCAGTTAAGACTGGGTGATTTTTAGGCAGAGCTCTGCTGAATATTTTTAAGAATTCAGCATGGCCACATCCTGTGAGATGTGACTTCAGTTAAATAAAGTTTTCTTGCCTGTTTCCAGCTGTTGAATCTCTCACAGGCACTAGGCAATATCTCTCTACAACTCCCTGAAGGGAAGTTGTAGCCAGGAGGGGTCGGTCTCTTCTCCTAGACAAGCATTGACAGCATGGGAGGACACAGCCTTAAGCTGCACCAGGGGAAATTTAGGCTGGAAATTAGGAAAAAATTCTTCACAAGAAAGAGTGATTGAGCATTGGGATAGGCTGCCCAGGGAGGTGGTGGAGTCACCATTCTTGGAGGTGTTTAAAAAAAGACTGGATGTGGCACTGAATGTCATGGATTAGTTGATGAGGTGTTAGGTCATAGATTGGACTTGGTGATCTCCCAAGTTCTTTTCCAACCTATTCTGTGATTGCTTCTGCTGTGAAATATCAAGAGAAATATGGTGTAAATGTTAGATGAAGGCCAAAAATTAGTGTAATTCTCAGCTCTGTTCCCAAAGGGAAAAGAAAGCAATGGTGATGTAATCCCTGTGATTTGCAGTTCAGAAAAATTATGATTACAACATTTGCATCATGAGGTATGCAGGGAATGCTGGCTGTGATACTGCAAATGACCTGTGGTTTTTGGACTCTCCTCATTTGAGCTGCCTAATGTGCTAAGCATCCACTGTGTGTGTAAGAGTTTCTTTAAGGTGTCTCAAGTTAAATATCATAATATTAAATATCTAAACATTCCTCTAAAATATCAGCCACAGACTTAACAGTACTCTGAGAGCTGCAAGTAATCCCCATTTGTTTCATTTTTTAGTATTACTCCCAAAATAATGGCAGCTGTCCAAAGTAATGAAGTAGTGTTTCCTAAGGATGAAATAATAAATATTTCCTTTCCCAAGTATTAAAATCCCAGCCTAGTTGTTGTCCCAGTGGCATTGACAAAGAGCAGGGAAAAGCCAGAGCAATTTGCTGTTAAGAGGCTGCACAGTAAAGGTCAAACCCCACATTCACAGCCTTGTGCTCCTTTCAGTTCATTACGTTTGTTGCCCATCTAATTGTTCTTCCAGAAATGTGCATAAATAACTTCCTGAAGTGAACAAAAGCACTGACTCATTATGACAGGTTGCATTTTCAAAGCTCATTTCCAGATACAGAAGTTGCCAAGTTGGTGGGGTTCGGGTTTTTTTTTACCTTTTGGTGTCGGTGTCCTTTTCTCTCCTGAACAGCCATTACAAAACTTGACAATTGACTTACCCCTCACAGAGTATGGAATTATCCTCTTTTCTCCTTTCTTTTATAATCCATACATTTTGATCTTTTTCATGTTGGAATTAACATCATGTTTTAATTTGTCTGTACCAAGGCCACCAGCTTGTCCTTCCTGAGCTGGGAATTCACCTGCTTCCAGCAGAGAAGCAGCCTGTGAGTCTGGGATCAGGCTACACCCATTTCTTTGGCTACTATTTGGGCATTGTAGGCAATGAGGAGAGTTACCCACGCCATTGTGCAGCTGAAATGTGTGAAAATGTTCGCTAATTGTCCAAAGAAATTGATAAATCAAACCAGATACTTGAGAGTGTCTGGACTTCATCATTCTGCCCTGGTAGTGCCCACCCCTTTGCTCTGATATGATTTTTCTGGTATTATGAATTTTTGTTTGGGAAATTGCCTTGGCTTCACTTCCCTTGCTGTGTGGAATTCACAGAATATTGGGGTGGTTTTGGGTTGGAAGGGACCTTAAATGTCATCCAGTCCCAGCCTGTGCTATGGGCTCGGACACCTTCCACCATCCCAGGCTGCTCCAAGCCCCATCCAGCCTGGCCTTGGACACTTCCAGGGATCCAGGGGCAGCCACAGCTGGGCACCCTGTGCCATTTCTCTGGGCACCCTGTGGCAGGACCTTCCCACCCACACAGGGAAGGATTCCTTCCCAATATCCCATCCAATCCTGCCCTTTGTCCATGGGAAGCCATTCCCTCTTGTCCCTCCAGACCCCTGTCCAAAGTCCTTCTCCCTTTTACCCCATATTTAGGTATTTAAAGGAGAAAAAGCCCACACAGGACACATCAACTGACAGTTCCTAGACTGTTGTGTCTTGAGGCAGAGGAAACTCCTGTCTTAAAACAGGATTTTCCAATCCTGGCACTTGCTCCTTTTCTTGAAGGAAGTGCAGTGTAATGAGGGCACTCTTTGATCTGGATTCCTGTGAGGAGTTTTGGGTTTGTGGTAAGGAAATGTCTGATGCTGGAGGACGATGCTCCCGTTGTTTAATTGGCATTGCATAAATGCCAGCCAGCCAAACCCATGTTCCTTGTTAGCAGTAATGAAATACGTCCACAGGCTTTTTGATCAAGGTTAGTAGAAGAGGAAATGCCAGTATGGAGATGGAAGTTTAAAAGTCATAGAATAGTTTGAGTTGGAAAGGATCTTTTAAAGCTCTTCTAGACCAGCCCCCTGCCATGGGACACCTTCCACTATCCCAGGATGCTCCAAGCTACATCCATCCTGGCCTTGGACATTTCTAGGGATGCGGGTATGCTGATACCCTTCAGTTTTTGGGGTGGCTGGTGCATGGCCATGGGAATATCTTCTTATTCTTAAGGTAGTCCTTTGGAACATGGGGTAGTTTGGAACATGGGCCTTTGAATATTTTACCAGACAAAATTCAAGCTCTGGCAAATTAACAAGAAAATGGAATTTCAGTGCCCAGAAGCACATTGTAAAGCTTTCTTTGATATTTACTCTATAAAATGCATGTAGAGATGCAGAGGTGCATAACCAGAAGAGCTGCATTTTTCCTGCGGAAAAAAAAAAAAATGCACACATCGGGCCATTTAAAAATGAGCAATAAAAATATTTTGGTGGCATGACAGTGTACTGAGATGTGAGGTGTCATTCTGAGAGTTTGACAGCTGAGGGGACATAGCCAGAGCAGCAGGATCTTTAAAAACAAAACTGGTTTTGGTATGAGTCACTTGGAATGTAGAGATAAGATTAGTTTGTGTGTGAGTATCTTTCTGCAGATCTGCCAGTATCATGTAATTGGTTTGTGTTGAAGTACATAAACTTCACGTTAACATCTGTACTTGAAACTAATTAAAAGAACTTTTTGGTGGATTCTGCCTTTACGTGCAATGTGTGTTTTTAAGACCCCTTTACTTACTGCTAAGTGTGCCTTGAAAAATGAGTCATGTTGTCTTTATTCCCCCATCTGTGTGGCTGCAGAGGGGAAAAAAACACAGAGCACAACAAGCTCTTCTTGTTTCATTTGCTTTTATTCCTGCAGGCTATGAAATCACCAGAATTAAAAGAACGATTGGAGGAATCAGAAAAGTTGATTCAGGAGATGACCGTGACCTGGGAAGAAAAATTACGAAAAACTGAGGAGATAGCTCAGGTTTGCTGCTTTCTTTCCTCCTTCCCTACCCCCCATTTTTTATGAAAAATAGGTTTGTTTTCTTTGTCTGTCAGTTCACAGAGGTTGTCTGAGTCTCTCCCCACATTTATGGGTAAGTAGGTCAAGCTTGCTGCCCTTTTGAAAAGCTTCACTTAATTCCTGTGATAGATGGGTGCCTCCCAGATTACCACTCCAGTGACAATAATAAATTGTCACTGTATGCAAATGGAGGAGTTATTTAAAAAAAAATAAAATAATCCACGGATGAGAGGATTATAGGGGTCTTTATATTCTTCAGGCAGTAAAATTGTTTGTGATGAGGGAGCATTGAGAGCATTCAGTGCAAGGTTATGGACTGAGTGCCTCAATGCACCAGGCAAAGGGCATTCAGAATGATAAAAAATAGAGCTATTGAGGATCTCTGTGTGTTTTAATAGCTCCTAAACTGATATTTAGAGCCTCAGACCATAACTGGAGATGATTACCTTGGAAAAATGATGCAGGTCACCACGGTTATTGCATGACACTCCTGATTCTTCCCACACAAATGTTGATGTATATATTTGCAGAGGGGAGCTTTGGAGGGGGAGGACTGTGGGGAGGTGATGAATAGTGTGTAATAAATAAGGGGAGAATGGAGCCTCTGGTACAAAGCCCTCTTGTAGATGCCACAATCAGAATAGACTGTGTTGACTTTGGTTTTAAAGATCCATTGTAAGAAGTGCTGCCTGTGACTATGAGGGCTTCCTGCCTTTCAGTGCAATTCCTCCCTGTGTATAAGGGTGGAAAAAAAATAAAATAAAAAAATAATACTAGTAAAAAAATCCTGCTCTTATCCTACACAATAGTTTCTAAGCATTGAATGTGTGAGGAGGTTGAAAACCTGAAGTAATGGGCTCAGCTCTTCAGACTATATGTGCCTTGATGTCTGCTTTAGCTCTCTGCCTTTCTGTCTCTGAATTCCAGCCTGGTAGGGTGTTTCAGAGCTGGGCGTTTCATGAGCCTTGGAAAAGGGGTATTTTTTCCAGAGGAGGGATAAGGACAAGTGTTTGTACAGCACAGGCTGTTTCAGGACTGTCTGGAATTCAGTGGAAGCCACTCTGTCACTCCCCTCCTCACCTGGACAGGGGAGAGAAGGTGTAACAGAAGGCTCCTGGGTCCAGATAAGGACAGGGAGAGATCAGTCATCCATTACTGTCACAGGCAAAACTGATTTGACTGGGGAAAATGAGTTTAATTTGTTACCAATCAGATCAGAGTAGGGTAATGAGAAATAAAACCAAAATCTTAAAACACCTTATCCCCTCTTCTTTTTTCCCAGGCTCAACTTCACTCCTGGTTTTCTGCTTCCTACCCCCAAGTGGGACTGGGATATAGGGAAAGGGGGCTGTGCTCTGTTCTCCACGTTTTGTCTTTGCTACTTTCTTGCCTGTCTGTCAAATTGTGTCAGGGTAGACTGGTAGGATGGAGGGATATTTGTAAATCTGTGAGGAAAGGATGATTCCTAATAGAGAGCGAGGACCATCAAAGAGGCATCAATAAGAGTTCAAAGCCTTAAACACCAGCCACAAGAACAGGCAATTTTTCACATTTTCGGTGAGCATTTGACATACTTCTAATGGTTTTTTTTCAGCCTTTAAGTTAATTAACACTAGGTCTTGAGAAAAAATTAACAGGAATTGGCTCTTTTTCTCTCGGTTAATCCTATGAGATTCACATTGTGGGCCAAGTTCTCCTTAGGGCAACATGTGCTTTATCTCTGCAGATAATAAGGATTTTTGTAAACTACAGAGCCTGGCACTGGTGATCGGAAGAGAGATCTTTGACATCACACTGCAGTTTCTCCTCTGTTCTTTGTTTTCTCTCTCTCTCACACACACACACATGACTTTTCCTTACAAGGACATCATGTTGGGTTTGTAAGCGTGGGGGGAGACAGGGAACAGAAAATCAAGAGCGAGTTGTGCCATTTCTTTGCAATTTTAATCTTGATTAGACCTGGTACATCTGAGCAAAGAATGATCCTGAATATTGTGACATACTCTGTTTTTAATTATAAAGCACACTGATAGGTAAAGATAAACATGCCAGGATTATTCCTATATTATCTCATTGGATTTTTTTAAAAGTCTCAGCAGCATGGGGAAAGCACTGTAGGTCTCTTGTATTTATTTTTTTTTGCTTATTAATTTCACCCTCTCCTATTCCTGGTTCCTCCAGTAATCCTGTGAGGACCCTCCCATAATTATTTCTAATTTATTTTTTTTTTCTGTTGTGGACAGTGAGTCTCACTTCAGTTTCTCTCTGCTCCTGGGAACAATTCTCAACTTCTCTATCCCAGTTGATTTGTTGTTGTTGTTGTTGTTGTTGTTTTTTGTAGAAGAATCCCCTTCTGTTTCTAAGTCAGAAATGTTTAATGTTCCTCTTTCACTGTTCTGGTCTCACCCAAACCCTTCCCTTTGAGAGAGGGACATTTTTGCACAGTAATGCTTTGTTGGGCATTTCTATGAAGTCTTTTGACAAGAACAAAACACCATCCAAATGCTGCTATTCTTGTTCAGCAGGAAGTGTTCTTTGCATTACTTAAATAGCAGGTTGCCAGTTTTTTGTCATTTTGATTGCTCTGGAACAAAAGACAGACATGGAACTTGGCTTGGCAAGGATTTAACTTAACTTCTTGCTTTTTAGCTGGAAAGGGAGAATAAAGGGCTCTAGAGATGGCTTTGTGGTAGCATTTTGCTGTTCCAGTGAGGTCATGGAGAAGCTCTGCAGTGCTGCAGGAGGCTGCTCCCAGCTGCTTTCATTTCCCACTGGGAATATGGGAATGTGTGGGACCAAAGCACAGAGCCAGAGAGGGGCGAGGACAGGAGGAATCACAGATACCCCTGAGCAGAGCTTGGTAGAACTGAAGCTTCTGTGCCTCACCTGTTGCAGAAGAAAGAATTTCCTGTTCTAGAAGTATCAATCCATCATTTTTGCCTGGTGGCTCCTGCAGATGGGAATGGATTTCCGAAGGGTTGGGCATCAATCAGCTCAATTTTGATGGCTGCTCTCTTACAGGAGCGTCAGAAACAGCTGGAAAGCCTTGGCATATCCCTGCAGTCCTCTGGAATTAAAGTTGGGGATAATAAATGCTTCCTGGTTAATTTGAATGCAGATCCAGCTCTCAATGAACTCCTGGTGTATTATTTAAAGGTAAAAATATATCTTTGTTTATCAGAATTTTGTAATGTCAGGCCTCTAATTCATTTGGCAGAGGTGTATTTGGAGAGTTCTGTAAAACTGTATATCTAAAAAATATTAAGATTATTGTAAGTAAAACCTTTTTATTTCAAATGTAATTCTTTGATGCACAGGAAAAGTTTGGGGATTTGATGTTTTTGTTTGTTTTGGTCTTCTTTGGCATTTTTAAAAAAGACATTTAGGCGTGTTCTTTTTGAGAGACTATCTTGTGTTCTGGGATGAGTTTTTATTGTTGGTTGGGGTTTTTTTATGCAAACTTTCACAAGCTTTTCCCCATGAAATTGTTTTATATGAAGGTTGGGTATATCAGTAGTCAGCTTCTCTGTGTGTAGTATAAATTTTGGCTGCTGTCTTCAGTTTATGAAATGCATTTTTAATCCTCTTCATGCAACTTGCTAGAAGTGAAAAACCAGTTCTGTTCTGCCTCAGCACTTCTGATGTGCAGTCCCTGTTTCTGATATTAACCATCAAACACATGATGTGACTTTTTCACCCTGTGCTGAAATATTTGGGCAGTTTATTGTGGCATTTACAAATTGTAGATGGAGGACTCGGGAGGAGAAGCAAGGTACAGCCATTTTAAAGTCACATCTTGGAGTGCAAATTCTAAAAATTTCGCAGCAAACGTCAGCGGTTTGAGCTTCACATTAAATCATTCTGTTCCCTTTGAAGTGGGGTAGTAACTCTCAAAACAGCCACAAAATGAGCAATTAAGCTGAAAGGTGGTTTTGGTTTAGTCAGTCTTAGGAAATATGTGATCCTCTTTTATATAAGCCATCGTGGCTCTGCGATATCTCAATAGAAACAGGGGAAAACACTTTTTCCCTGCTGTATCTGCTAAAAAAAAACACACATTAAAAAGGAGAAAAGAGCTGAGGTTTTGGGAGAGGTTGACTCTTTCCCAGACAACTTGCATGTAGAAGTCCAGAATGTGACTCAGCTGCTAAATCACTGACAGATACTGAGACAGATCCCACTTTGTCCCAGTGGTCACTGGGAACAAGGACAAGAGCAAGGCAAAGTCTTTGGCCCATCAGTGCCAGCAGGAAAAATCTCAGGTGGTTCTGTGGTCTTTTCCTTTGAAAACTCCTTGGGGTAGATTTTGTCGCCTTTAATTAGTCTTTGTTATTTTTTTTAATAGCTCAGATTTGTCTTTCTCCTAGGGAATTTCGGTGTAAAAATCCCTGTGCTTTGAAATTATCATGATAAAATTCCTTGCAGCTGTTTTTCCTAAAATCCTGAGATTTAACTCTCTTGTTTCTCAGAATATTTGCCCACTTTCTCTCTGAGCTGTGTATGCACCAGGTCCTTCAAGTACTGAAGAACAACCTGAACTGGCCTGTCTAAACTTCTATATCTGCTTGGAGATGCCTAAAATAGAGATTTCTGTCCCAAAAGGGAGATCCAGCCCTGGCAGTGTAGAGTCCCCATCCCTGGAGGGATTTAAAAGCCTTGTGCAGGTGGCACTTGGGGACATGGGGCAGCGGTGGCCTTGGCAGTGCTGAGGGTTGGTTGGATGGTCTTAAAGTGTTTTTTCCAACCTCATCAATTTTATGTGTGGGGTGATCCTTCATCTTCCAAATCCCCCATACCTTGAGTATCCAGGAATTTCCTGAGCTGTTGCTGATCTAGGTGGAACCTCCATAATCACCATGGATCTGCCACTGAGATCCTCTCTAAATTCCTGCCTGAAATCCTTTATTCCTTTGGCTTCTACAACATTCCAAGGTACTGGATTCCTCCATTAAATCATAAAATTCTCTTCATTTTCATGTTTAACTGTTGCCCATAAACTTTCCTGAGTGCTCTCTGCTTGTTATTGTAAGACAAAGCATTGATTTTCTTCTCTTTTTCCCTCTAAAGGAAGTATTGAACAGCTGTGAAATTTTGGGACCAGATGACACAACACATCCAGAAGGAGAATGAGTGAATTACACCCATTGAACCTCTGCAATCCATCATTAACATCTGAATTAATTTTTCCCCAGGAGCACACGTTAATAGGCTCAGACAACTCTCAGGATATCCAGCTGTGTGGAATGGGAATTCTGCCTGAGCACTGCATCATAGACATTACCCCAGAAGGCCAGGTTATGCTGACCCCTCAAAAAAATACCAGGTGAAGGAATAAAATGCAGCCACAGCTGTTTGATGCTTGCAATTTTATCCAGTATTTTATGATTAGTGGTGCACGAAGATACTTGGAAAACAAACTTCTCTATCTCCTTCGTAGTAAGAAAAATTCTGCTTTTACATTTTAATTGTCACCTGTTCTTCTGTCAGCTCATGTTCCATTCCAGTGAGATTTCTGTCAGGGAGGGTGTTTGTAGCCCAAATTTTTAAAGAGGAGATGAGTAAATTACATGTGCTTTCAGCAAGTAGATACTCACTGATTTGCAGCTGTGTAGATGTACCTCCTATCAAAATTTGAATTAATTTTCTAGGAGATCTGTTGATATGCAAAGAGCTGCTGAAGCATTTGTTGCTTTATTCAATTAAGTAGCTCTGCTTGAGAAGCAGCTGGCATATTCAGATTGATCACAAAATGACGTGCAGAGTCAGCATCTCCAACAACTTATTGTTAATACACAAAATTCTAACTTTGCACATTTACCCTGATTTGTGGCTGATCCTGCTTGGAGCAGATTGGACTGGGTGACACCTGAGATTCCCTTCAAATTTGAGTTATCCAACAATCCTACTTTCAAACTTAATCTGACTCAGAAATCAAAGTAGTTTCTGATTATTTTAATTAATGTCTTTAAGCTGTTCACGTAGCAAAAGTGTCAATTGACTTATTAAAATATTTCTGTTTTGTGTTTGTATTTCAGAGCAGTGTGCAAGTGTTTTTTTCTAGTGGCTTTGTTTTCTCAGGCTGCTCATTTTTAAGCTCTAATTTTACTCCCGAGGGACATCTGTAGTAATATCTGTCTAAATGTACTGAACCTCATGAGCTTAAGAGGTCAAAAGAAGCTGAATTTGAGGCATGTATGAAACAGCACTGGGTAGATCAGTGAATTTTCTGGGAGTATTTTGCCTGTTTGCAATCCCTAAATCTCTTCTCCTGCCTTTACTTGTTGCAGTAATGAAAGTAATACTGGGAGGGGGAAAAATGAAGCTTCGTATAAATGTATTTACTTTAGATTTTTGCCTTTTCACAGGACATTTGTAAATGGCTCTGCTGTCGTGTGTCCCATCCAGCTCCACCATGGAGACAGAATCCTGTGGGGAAATAACCACTTCTTCAGGTAACAAAAGTTATTCCAGGAATTGTAAAATTGGCACCCACTTTGTTTTGGGTTAAGGTGCATGGAAAGATGGGGGTTATAAAAGCAATACTGATGTTTTAATGCTAAATGTTATTACAAAGTCACTGTGCTCTCTGTCCCCTGTAGTCCCAGCCATGTCTGTGACCTTCCTGCATCAGACAGGATCACTGGTAGATCTTTTCTGTTCAAGTCTGTGCTTTGAAATCCTCTGAAATACCTCAAAAATCTGTGGATTTGAATGATAATCTAAAATGTCGTTGCTTTATTTCATGCTTTAGAGGAGAACCCACATAAAAAAGTGAGATTTCACTTCATTATTGCCTCTAAATTATTTGGGTGCGGAATGACTGAAACATGTCATGATTATGTAAACTGTATTATTGGTAGCATGAGGTACTTAATTATGAGAATGTAGAATGGATTAATTAGTTTACCTTCTGCTCCTGTTTTTGCCCTGAGGAAAATTACACCCACAGGAGATCAATAAAATTTGAAAGGGAAAAAATCTTCTGATTTGGAGGCTCTGCTGAATTTTAACAATATTTGAAAGCAACCCTCTGTTTCACAGCTGAGCAATTAATAGATCTCTAAAAATGTTCTTCTTATTTAAAGGCTGAATTTGCCAAAGAAGAAAAAGAAGGCAGATCATGAGGATGAGGAGCGGGATAACTCCATGAAGTGCAGCAACAGTGTGGAGCAGCTGGATATAGATGGAGACAATTCCAGTGAAGTGTCCAGTGAAATTAACTTCAGCTATGAATATGCCCAGATGGAAGTCACCATGAAGGCTCTTGGTAGTAATGGTAAGTAGCCACAAAAAATTATTTGGCAGTGTGTACAAAATATGAGGATAACCACAGACTTTTTCCCTTATAACTTCCTTTTGGAGAATTTTTCTTGTGAATGACTCATCACAGTCATTTTTGTGCTTGAGGAGGGAAAAACAACCATGGCAGACTGTTTGGTTTGGCAGTTCTTGCTGAGGGGAAAGCCAGAAGTGGAATGCTGGTGGAACTGCAGTCTCAAATCAAAGTGTTTTCACTTGGCTGTTTATTTTTCTTGTGTTATGTCTCACTCAGGCATTAACTGCAGTGATTTCTGTCTCTGAAACTGTGTTTTTGAGTTTTTGTGGTCTCATGTAGCTGTCCCAGAATGACATTATTTTGGGAAACAGGAGGACCGGACCTTTTTTTTTTTTTTAACCCAACTTGGGCTTTCCCTTTTCTTAATTCTCTTAAATCATCTGCCTTATAAACATTTGTTTTGCTTCAGAATTCAGCAGCACTTTTTAAATACACACTACAACAAAACCAGAGTCTCACTTTTTACCCGATACCCACGCTCACACCGCGCATCCAGGACGCTCCTCATGGATTCCACTGCAGTACTTTCTTTATTCTCAATCTCTGCCTAGACCCAATGCAGTCAATCCTGCAAAGCCTGGAGCAGCAGCACGAGGAGGAGAAGAGATCAGCTCTGGAGAGGCAGAGGCTGATGTACGAGCACGAGCTGGAGCAGCTGCGGCGCCGGCTCTCTCCCGAGAAGCAGCATTTCCGCAGCATGGACAGGTTCTCCTTCCACTCCCCCAGTGCCCAGCAGCGCCTCAGGCAGTGGGCAGAGGAGAGGTTGGTACCCCCCTGGGACCATCAGGGGCGTTCAGTCAAATTTCTGTAGCAAATTTGGCAAGATTTTCGTTGTGCTGTGGTTGTGGTGGATTTTTGTGGTGGGGCTTGGGGAGGACACAGCCAAAATATTTATCTAAAAATCACAGAAGGGACATCAAAGATCATCCAGTTCCACCCCTGCCATGAGGAGGACACTTTCCACTATCCCAGTTTGCTCCAAGCCCCATCCAACCTGGCCTTAAACCCCTCCAAAATAACGAGGCCTACAATGATAGAAAGTATGAGAAATAATGAGTTCCTGCTTTGTTGTTAAGGAGAAGCTCTATCCTGATCAGCAGCAAATTTAACTAAAGACGAGGTGACTGGATGAAATTTTGAGGCTCCTATGTGAGTTTGTTCTTTCATGGGTCATGCCTGACTCAGCTGCTGGAAGGTTGTTTTTCCTCTTGACTCAGATCCAGCTGTCTGACCTGGGCAGGTTCTGGCAAGCAGAAAAGTGCAAATAAAAAAAAAAGGGAGTAAGAGGATGATACAAAGAATTTTAGTCCAGATCATTGTAAAAATCATTTAATAACCACAGAGAGGTCACTGTCCACTCTGCCTCTTCCTGGGTGATGGCACTGAGGTTATTTACTTCAGCCCCCAAATAATCTTTTCCACTATTGCTGTCAGAAAGAGCAGCTGCAGGAGGAAGAGGAAACCCTAAATAAACAAATGTGGTAAAGACATTGTCATGAAAAATACAGATCTAATATACATGGATAGAAAAGCAACTTTGGAAGTAAAAAAATATTTCAGACAGCCTGACAAGGTGCTAGCTGTGTGCCTGGGATGTTTTCTAGCACCAGATTCCTGGGCTGCACGGGTGCCACTCTCTCTCACACTTGCCAGGAAGGCCAGTGAGTAAGTGGGTCATATCTGAATAAACCTTTCTCTGTAACATGGAACATCCACATCTGTGGTGGGAAAATGCTGGAATGAGCCACATAATAGCTGCCTGTTCAGCAGATGCATGGAGAAGTCTCCAAAGCCAACAGCATCCTAATTTTCATATTGCTAAATTCATACAGATGGGTGGGGGGTTTTTCCCAGTTGAAATGTAATTTCATACACCTGATTTTTATGTTAAAAATATAAATTATATAAATATAATGATAAAATTATTTTGGTGTGAAGGGACCAGAAAGTCCTTCCAGTTCCATCCCCTGCCATGGGCAGGGACACCTTCCACTGTCCCAAGTTGCTCCAAGCCCTGTCCAGCCTGGCCTTGGACACTTCCAGGGATTCAGGGACAGCCACAGCTTCTCTGAGCAACCTGTGCCAGGGCCTCCCCACAATCACAGCCAAAAATTCCTTCCCAATATCCCATCTATCCCTGCCCTCTGCCAGTGGGAAGCCATTCCCCCTTGTCCTGTCCCTCCATCCCCTGTCCCCAGTCCCTCTCCAGCTCTCCTGGAGCCCCTTTAGGCCCTGCAAGGGGCTCTGAGCTCTCCCTGGATCCTTCTCTTCTCCAGGTGAACAGCCCCAGCTCTCCCAGCCTAGCTCCAGAGCAGAGGGGCTCCAGGTCTGGAGCAGCTCCTTGGCCTCCTCTGGACTCTCTCCATGTTCTCCTTCTGTTGGGAACCCCGGAGCTGGACCCAAGGATGTTGTGTAGGGCAGTGTCCAAACCTTTGCACAAGTAATGGTGAAATCTAGGGCCTGTGAATGTGAGGTTGCTCCTGGGTTTTCTGGAGGGGCTCACCTGTCCAAAATTTGTAGCAGCCCCACTCTAATGTCATCTGTCCCTTCCCTCTTTAATCCTCACCCACAAGCTCTCAGTTGCCTCCTCATCCATTTATTTTGCTTTTCATGAACCTCATGTTTTTGCATGTCTCCCCTTCCCAATCCCATTCTTGCAGGGAAGAAATGCTGACCCACAGCCTGAGGAAGCTGCGAGAGCAGATTGTTAAAGCCAATTTGTACGTGAGAGAAGCCAATTTTATCGGAGAGGAGCTGGACAAGAGGACAGAGTACAAAGTGACCCTCCAGATCCCAGCTTCAAGCCTTAATGCCAACAGCAAGGTACAGTCACCCTGGCTGAATTAAATGGCTGTTTAATAAGTTTGTCCCTCAGTGTTCAGATTTCTTTTACTCCGACTGTAATGGTTGAGTTAGTTTGTCACTAATATGCATTAAATACATCTCTGCTACATCCTTACCTTATTTTATACCATGAAAATCTGATAACATCCCTTAAAAGATAAATGTTTTGGTGCATGACCTTTCCCCTGGTGTTGAAGTTCCCACTTGCTGCTGTTGCAGAGTGACAAAGTCTCTGCAGGTTGGGTAACATCTGTTGCAAGTGTTTACCATCCCTTTGTGGACATTTGACTTTGCATCAGCCCAGTGAACTGCAAAAATTCTGCCATTCCCATTATGGAGGGAGGAACTGGAGCAGAGAAGATTTCAATTATTTGTTCCCAGGCATCTTAGAAGTTTTGGAAGGAGGGATCTGAACCCAGGCTTCTGTGTCTCAGGCTGGCTACCAAAGCTGGTGTTATTTCTTGAAGCTAAATCAGTATTTTGGTGATACTCAGACTGTCCTTAGTGCAGTAGATGGATTTTATTCCAGGATTATAATTTTTGTCAATTGTTTTGGAAGTTTTTCTCACAGTCTTCTGGGGAAGACACATCCAGAGACAGGATGGTAAGGGGGGTGAAGTGTCTGCCCTAGTTGAAAGTTGCAGGCAGTAGTAATTTTAACTGGAACTCCAGGCCTGCTGTAACTTGAAGGTATTTGTGAAATGCTTAAATGTTCCCATTTCTAACACTTATGCAAGGTGAAAATCCAAGGAAACCAGTGCCTGTAGCTGTGATTAGACTTCCCAGTTAAAATGAGCACCAATACAGTGTGACAGCTGAACTCAGAGCCTGTCGCGTTTGGATTTGGCTGCTCAAGCCAGAATAAAAAAAAAAAAGAACAGACTTTTCCCAAAGTTTTATTCTCAAGTTTGTGTTAGTTTTAAACTCTGTTTTCAGTGTTGTGACACAAATTCCTTCTTGGCATCCCTTTAATTGTTTCCCAGAGAGGTGCAATTCTCAGTGAGCCTGCAATCCAGGTGAGGAGGAAAGGGAAAGGCAAACAGATCTGGTCACTGGAAAAGCTGGAGAATCGACTGGTGGATATGAGGGACCTTTACCAGGAGTGGAAAGACTGTGAGGAAGACAATCCAGTAAGTAAAAAATACTCCTGTAATTACATTCCTGTTACATTTTCAGGAGGATTGTTGGGTGGACGTGGGGAGGGAATATGCAAAGAGCTGAGTTTCCCTGAGGTTTTGCTTTTCCTGGTACTGAATTGGTGCTCAGCATTTCATTAACCCTTATCTTGTCACTCTGATCCCTGCTTGCATGCATAGTTTGGTGAGGGAATGGAGCACACAATAGGAAGCTGCAGGTGACACAACAGCAGTTAATATTCAGGAATCTGGCAAAATTAAGGAGGACTCGCTCAAGACAGGCTTTACCCAAAATAAAATTCATTTCCATTCTTCTTGTGATCTAATCTGGCCTCTTGCTTGGGTCCCTTTTTCTTTCTCTGGGCTGGTTGTGCAACACTTTGAAAAGTGTTTCCTGGGAGGTTTTGTTTCCTGACAGACTCTGGATTTGCTTGCAGGTGATGAGAGCTTATTTCAGGAGAGCTGATCCCTTCTATGACGAGCAGGAAAACCACAGCCTTATTGGAGTAGCCAATGTTTTCCTTGAGTGCCTGTTCTACGATGTGAAGCTTCAATATGCTGTTCCAATCATCAATCAGAAGGGAGAGGTTTGTAATTTTTTATAATCTATCCTTACTCAGCTGTTTAATTACAGCCTGTGGGTCCTACTACCAACATGGAGTAGATAATTTCTAGTTTCACGTACACAAGTTCATCGCTAACAGTGTGGAATTTTGTAAATCCCATAATATTTTACTGGAGTTTTCAGACAGCTCTGAATCCCAGCAAGGTGATTGTGAAAGGAGAAAGCTTCCTGAGCACCTTCCTGAGGGAAATAGCCCAAAATAAGTCCTTAGGAGAGCCCTATAGCTCCACTGGTTTCACTGCCTGCCATCAAGAAAATAGGTTCTTAAATATATTTTCTAAGAACAATTTCAAAGGCAGCAGAGCACACCAGGCAAGATTCTCCATGCTCTGCATCAAGTGTGCACTTTGTATACCCTCCAGAGACTGGTTTGAAGGTGAGATTGTTCCCCAAGTGACCCCAGTGTCTGATTTCTTTATGGTTTTTGCAACAAAGGCTTTTTGATTCTTGCTCCAAAGCGTTCTTCATATGGTGCAACAAATGCAGAGTGCAAAAAGGAATGAAGTGTTGGCTGCTTACAGAAGGGAGGGGGTGACCTGTCACTGTGTTCTGGCACAGAAATAACTCTGAATCCTGTCCTGCCAGGTTTCAGGTCGTCTGCACGTGGAAGTTGTTCGAGTGAGCGGGGAAATCGATGACAGGCTGGTGGGAGGTGAGGACAGTCCTGACTACTCAAATGAAAATGACATCCAGGAGAGAAAACTTGTCTGCAGGGTGAGTTCCAGGTGTATCCCAACCTTTGAGCAAGCTTTTATCTTCCCATCCTGAGTCAGAAAGAAATCCTTGGCTTCTGGACCTTGGATGTCTCTTTGTAACCTTATTTTGTTTTTGGGATGGCTGAAGTAACACAAGATAATTAGTTGGGGTTTGTTCCTTTCATTAATTGCATTCATATGCCAAAGGCTCACCCCAGGAATTTTCTTGGAATCCAGGGAGGATCTTTGTATTAGGATTGGCACTGCAATATCCAATTCAAGAAGAATCACAGAATCTGATAAACTCCATCATTCTAGGAATCATTATCTCTTAATACTTCTGTTTCTCTCAGTATTTCTTTCTCTAAATATTAAATACTTTATAAAATATGTACAGTGTGTTTATTACTGTTAGTAATAAAAATAAAATTAGTAGGAAATATTTACTAGCAGTTCTGTGATAGTAAAACTACAAGCTACAGGTAAGAAAAGAAAGGCAAGAAACATTAGAGGGGGTGGTCCCCAGCCCTGCTGACTTCTGGACAATATGAACAGTTTGGGAGAAATTGTGCTTTTTTCCCCCCACTTTTTATCCTGTCCCATAGAGCTCCTGTGCTTACAAGCAGGATGCAATAGGCAAAAAATACTCCAGCCTGATCATGAGGATCATACTGCAGAAGTTCAGCTCATTTGGTCTTAATTTGACAAATGAAAAAAAAAAAGCTTATTAAATATATGGTGAATATGATGGCTTCGTTTAGATCAGAATTCACAACATTTTGTTTCTATTTGGCATTGATTTGATGAGGGACAGGCTAATTTTGTATTCTTTGGGGTTGATTTTGGGTTATTTACAGCATCACAGAGAAAGAAAAAGTAGTATCTTAAACCAAGGATTTTTTGAACTTAAAGGAGCCACTGGAAATACGAGATTTTTATGGTATTCCTCTTCAATTGCAATGGGTTTGGTGCATTTCACCACTAAAAATGAGAGTATTTCCGTCTAGGAAACATGAGCCTGGTGACATCTAGTGACTCTCCTCAGCTGCTGCACTCCAAACATTTTCTCCAATATCAGTGCAGAAATTTTATTTGCTAAGTGGTTTTTGGTTGGCTGTTCTTATTTCTTTTTATCCTTTGCAGTGGAACGTTGTTCTGCCAGGTGATGTTTTTAATTCCATGCCTGTTGAATAAGTGCTTTTCATTTCTTTCTCACCTCCTTTCTAGATTAAAATACTTCAAGCTACAGGTTTGCCACAGCACTTGTCCAACTTTGTGTTCTGCAAATACACATTCTGGGATCAAGTGGAGCCAGTTATTGTTGCACCTGAGGTGGATCCTTCCCAGTCTTCCATCAGCAAGGAGCCACGATGCATGGTTGTCTTTGACCACTGCAATGTAATTTATTTTTATGTTTTATTCATTAAACTGTAAGGCAGGCAAAGAAAAGCAGGTTAAGTTTGTGTAGTAGTTTTATCTGCCTCTTTTTCTCACATTTTATTTCATGATGCCCTAATACCATTTTTTATTTTATTATGTTGATACACTAATATTTTTTTAATAAGAACACAAATGTCTTCAGAGTCCATTTAAGTTTGATGCTTCTGCACTGTTCATTTGTACAAAAATTACTGAAGGGGAAATGGATTAATAAACAAAAACATCAGTTCATCTCAGAAACTAATACTGGAATTTATCCTCAGTAAAATGAACTGTGGATGAGGAATGTTTATCTGAGGATATTGGATGTCAGTAACTGAGCTGCTCACTCTAAACTCTGATGAAATGAAGAGAAATGTCCCAGTTCTGGGACATGGGGCTGCTGTAGATGCTGAAGTTGGGTTGTTAGAGGTCAGAACAGACTATTTAGGACAGACTCTTTCTTCCCACTGGCTTTGGAGCAGCTGAGCAGAGGCATTTTATAGAGACATCTAAAGTCAGCTTGGATGAATCTCATCCAAATCACCCCAGCTGTCATCATGTTCTATCACTTCTCATCACACTGGGCAATTTATTCCTCTTATCATTTATGAAATGGATGTAACACCTTCTGATGAGTTTTGATTTTATGATTCTGAACATTGCAACATATGCTTTGATTTTTTTCCTGAGCCATTGGCTGAGCTCAGGGCTTGCAACAGCCTATGGTCATTTTTCAGCTCCTTACAGACTTTAATCTTTGGAAAATCACATACCTTTAACCTGCCTCCTTGATTTTACAGAGTGAGCCAACACTTCTTTTCTCCCTGGATTGTGTCTTGGGAACCAGGGGGATTTTACTAAATGCTTTTATTAAAGTAAAGGCAGTGAAATCTCCCAGCCTGAGTCGTGTAGTCACAGTTACCAAATGATTTGTCCTTTCCAGGAGGTTTCTGTGAATATTTCTGAAGACTTCATGGAACATCTTTATGATGGTGCTTTGGCCATTGAAGTTTATGGGCACAAGCAGAGTGGTGACCGAAAAAACCCAGCCCTGTGGGATTTGGGAATAATTCAAGCCAAAACACGCAGCCTTCGGGACAGGTACATGTGGAAAACACATCTTTGGTTTGGAATTTGGGAAAAATCACAGTCTGAGGTGCCCAGTTTTGAAGCAGGTTTGGTGTAAGGAGTCAGATTTCGAACTGAAGACCACTGGATGACTCCAATTCATTCCTGGCCATAAAATGCCATCCCTGTAATGCTTCCAGTGGAAAAGTTTTGGTGCTTATTACCTCAGTTTGCATAAATATACAATACTGTGGTAATTCAGACTGCAGGGGGATATTGTTTGTTTGCTGGAACCATTTGTTGTCCCCAAAGTAATCCTATAGTAGCATTTTCTTAAATGTGAGTTGTTTTGCTTTTTCGTTTAGAAGGCAGCTCTGCGATTTAATTTATTGGCAGTTGCTTCTCTTTTTATTTGCACCTTAGGCTTATGTTGACTACTAAGCTGCATATAAGGAAATTTAAAATATAAGTCAGGGAAATATAACAAAGAGGAAAAGGATGCTATAAAATAGTGGGTTATGTTTGTTAACTAAGCAGTGAGCACCTCTATCCTTTTTAATTTTGAAGTTCTACAAAAATGGCTGTTTCTTATTAAGCTCTGGGAAGAGTTGGAGAGAAGGCAATGATACGAAGAAGGTCAGGAAAGTGCTCTGAATCTTGAGAGCTTGTCATATTTCATTCTTCTGTCTTCTATCTCAGTCTGATTGCCCTGACAACACTGGGCTTCTGTGGCAGGAGTAGAGACCAGAGCTTAAATGTGAAATTGGGGTTTGTATTGGAATCAGGAAAAGGCTTATTTCTGATGTTTGACTAAAATTGCTGTCAGGAAAATTAAGAAGCTCTGCACAGCTGGTCCCTGTGTGCTCACAAATCATGCATTTTTTGCAGCAGTTGTTGCTGCTTCTGCATTGTGAGCTCACTGTTTTGATGTTTTAATTCCTTTTTCTTTGAGGGGAAAGAAAAAAAAAACTATCCAAAGAGAAGAAACAACCCAGTGCATGACTTGTTCTGCAGGTGGAGTGAGGTGACGCGCAAAGTGGAGCTGTGGGTTCAGATCCTGGAGCTGAACGAGAACGGGGAGTACTGCCCAGTTGAGGTGACCCCTGCCAAGGATGTCAGCACAGGAGGCATCTTCCAGCTCAGACAGGTGAGGTGTGGCATGTCAGGACCCAGGACATTCCTCTGGGTGATTGGAGACCCTGGCAAGGGGCTCAGAGACCTTGGCACGGAGTCAAAAACACCTGTGCCTTCGATTTTAGTCCATGGAAAAATCTCCCAACTTTGTGTGAAGATTTACAAGCCACAAGAGCTTGAGTAGAATGATAGATAATTTGTCACAGGGTGAAAAAGTAGAATTTTGGGGTTTTAGAATGGGGGTTCGAGAGTCAAGATGGAGGAATCTGGGTGTGTCCTGTTGTTCTTCTCCTTCTTCTTGTCCTCCATCTTCTGCTGGGATGGTGACACTTTTGGATTGGTTCAGAATATAGACAGACTGTCTAACATAGGTGATAGGTATTGGAAAATTATTGTAAATAAATTACACATAGTCCTTAGTATAAAAAGTTAACACCACCCCAAGGGCAGGTGCTGTGCCACAACCAGACCTGCAGGACAGATCTCATCAGGTCAGAGAAAGAATGTAATAGATAAGAAAAAATAAACAACCTTGAAAGCAGAACCGACGAATCTCGAGTTCTTCAGTCACAGGGCTGGGAAAAAAGAGACTTTCTAACACCTCGGGGTCATCTCAACACAGAAACACGAGACTGGCACAGGCAGGGTTCCAGCTGTACCAAAAGCACCTGGGGAGCTTTGCTTTGGGTGCCCAAGGAAGTGTCAAGCTTAGGTGCAAATTGTGATGTAGTGGAAAACAGATGTAAAGCAGGAGACTCAGCTTAAAGGTGATCAAACCCTCCCTGTAACCTTTGTGCTCTGTCCTGTGCCCTGTCCTGTGCCAGCACCTGGCAGAAGGGACATCAGTCTCCACTGAACTTCATTATTTTTTAAAGAGGTCCAAGAGTTCTCTTTTATTTGATCCTTCCAGCCAAGCACTCCTTTGTTCTTTGAATTCTGCCTGCTTTAAATTGTTAATGCTTAACTGAGCAGCTCACATTTTTAAAATGATGAGCTATTGGTAAGCTGCTGCCCAGATAACACGAGGAATCAGAAAAAGTTAGATACAGGCTGCTTCTCTGACCTCACCAACTCCTTTGATTTTTATTTTAATTTTCTTTTTTTTTAAATTTACTTTTTTTCCCCTTACAGTTTTAGTAAAGAGCAGTTGCTTTGCTGTACTGATACCATCAGTGGGTCAGAATTTTCAGCCAAGGAGAGCAGAGTCAGAAAAAGTTCACTGAAATTCCAGTAGCTCACCAAATTACACTATTTGCTCTCCTCTTTTGTAGGTGGGAAGAAGATCCCATTTTCTGCCTTCATATTAAAAATAAAATCCTATAAGGATGTGTTTGAAAACACTCCAGAAAAGTAAACTAAATTTGACTAAAATTATTCAGGGGAGCTGACTAAAAATTACTCAGGCGAGGTGCTGAATGCTGAACTTTTATTTTTCTCTGTAAAAATTCATAAATCCTGCAAACAGAAATTCTTGCAACAGGAGGGGGATCTCTTGAACACTGGGTCATTGGGATTGCAGCACTTTGTTCTTCCCAAAAGATAAATATAATATTCCTTGCCAATGGCTGCCAGTAGAGGTCTCTCTGGAATTAAACTTTCAGCACTTTATATTCATTTTTTTTTTAAACAAGCGTTTCAAATTGCTCTTTTTTGGACAGGGGCAATCTCGACGAATCCAGGTTGAAGTGAAGTCTGTGCAGGAATCTGGGACCTTGCCACTGATGGAGGAATCCATATTATCTGTTGGTGTTGGCTGTGTTCAAATAAAACATGTCAAGTCACAAAATTATCAGGTAAAGGTCTGAATATTTACTGTCAGCTATTTCCAAGAGCTGGAAAGTATCAAGGGAATAATTTTCTGTGGCAAAAATAGCACTTGTAAGATGTTTTGTGTCTTTTCTCATTTTGGTTGGGTTTTTTTTTTCCTGTCTTTGAAAGCAGCACAGCCTTAACACACTTGAAGAAGAAAAGAAAATGCAAACATTCCTAAAATCCATTAGGAGCTTTTTGTGTAGTTTTTACTTCAAATATCAGACATGGAAAGCAATATTAAGTATTCAAAACAAAAATTAATTTAAAGTATTCAAATTAAAAATTCAAACTAAAACAAATCAGTGCAACATATATTTAAATAGTGTCAAATTCCAAATGTTAAAATTCCAGGAAGCACTTGTGGCCCACAGTAGATGTTGGGCAGTTCTTGGACAGTCTCATACACACTTCACCTCATGTATATCCCACTCTTTTAAGGAATTGTCTTTTTGCAGTGCTCCTGTGAGTTTCTGGTGCACTTTGACTTTTTCCCTCCAGCAGATAAATGAGAATTCAGTGACTCCTTGGAGCTGGCAAAGCCAAAATCTGGTGCAGCAGAACAGGTCTCTGAACTTTTTTGATTTGCTGCCCAGCTTGAGACAAGGCCAGCTGAGTGGAAAAGTAGATGTCCCAAAATATTTACCCTGTTGATAGTGCATGATCCAATCCATGTCTGCTCCCCTTTTTTTGCTTTATCAGGATGGCTTTTCCTTTGAGCTCTGAAGTATTTGGGGTTTCTGTTGTCTCCTCACCAGGGCAGTCCTTTCCCATTGTGTGTCTGGGGTACAAAAAGGGGAATTTTTTCCACCTTTCCAGCAGCATCCTGGGCAGATTGTTCCTGTTATTCCCCATTATGCTCCTGCTGGTTCTCCCTGCAGCTTTTCCACCACAGCAGCCCCTGATACCCACATTTCCTTCCTGTAAAGCCAGGAAATTCCTGAATGGAGGAAGTTTCTCTCCTAGGACAGCATGATTGATTCTTGCAGTTTTTCCTTCACCCACAACCTACAAGTGACCCTTTGTAGGGACAAGTCCCAGGGGAGCATCCTGTCTGCCTCACCCTATTAATTCCCCAGTGAATTCCTGATCCACTGACCAGTTCCAGACTTATCCCACAAAGCTGGCAGTCCCCAAAATAGTAATTCTATCAAGGAGAAAGACTTCAACTCAACTTTAGAGAGAGAAACCAGTGAGTTATGCCTGACATTGATAACCCCCGTGGGAAAGGGCCACTGAAAATCAGATTTTATGAGACCTGTTGATTACAATAGGCTTTGGACATCAGCACCTGGATTTTTAGTCCCCTTATTGTCATTTCTCTTATCTCAGGTAAATCAGGTATCTCTGGAATGTGAAGGATTTTCTAAAGACCTTGAACTAAGGAAATGCCTCTTCTCTGTGGCTTTTTAATTTTAGCTTAGCTAAGTTTTTGCTTTCATGATAAAGGTAGAAAAGTAGGCTCTGGTGGCTTGTTATTGCTTAACTAGATAAGTAATAACTCCTTGAGGATTGGAGCCCTCATTCCTTTTCAATTCCCTGTGAGGAGGGGCAGTTGTGCTCATTGCAAGTGGCTCTGCTTGGGATGAAGGTCGAGAATTAAAGGTGGGAAAATAATGGGAATAAAAGGTTGAAAGTCTGCATTGTCACTCCTGAGTGTGGCTGCTGTTCTAATTCCCTAATAATTGCAGTAGGTTTTTAAAATTCTTCTCCTTTAAAAACTTTGCAGCAAAGTTACCTTCAGTCATTTTGGACACGTCTCAGTTTTGGGGGCAGTTCTGGGCCCCCCATGACAGGAGAGACCCTGAGGGGCTGGAGCATGTCCAGGGAAGGGAACAGAGCTGGGGAAGGGGTTGGAGCCCCAGGAGGGACTGAGGGAGCTGGGAAAGGGGTTCAGCCTGGAGAAGATGAAGCTCCAGAGGAAATTTTCCTCGCTGGAATTCCCTGACAGGAAGGTGCAGCCAGGTGGGGTCAGGATTTCTCCCAGGGAACAGGGACAGGATGAGAGGGAACAGCCTTAAAGTGTGCCAGGGGAGGTTCAGGCTGGATATTTTGTACAATTCCTTCATGGAAAGGGCTGTCCAGCCCTGGCACAGCTGCCCAAGGCACTTGTAGAGTCCCCATCCCTGGAAATGTTCCAAAAACGTGTGGATTTGGCGCTTGAGGTTCAGTGCTGACCATGGTGGTGGTGCTGCTGATTGAAGGGTGGACACAATGTTGAGGTTCAGTGCTGACCATGGTGGTGGTGCTGGTTGAAGGGTGGACACAATAGACTCTTAAAAGTCTTTTTCAGCCCTAACAATTCTGGGATTCTATACCACATTTGGATTTTTCAGCACTTGCTGAAACACTGAAGTCCTAGAGGTAAAGCAGCATTTTTCTTTGCTGTCCAGGATCAAGAGGTTTTAAGGTGTTTCTCCTGTTTTTTTCTTGTATTCCACTTTCTTTCAATTATTAAGACTTATAGTTACATTACTGTGAATTTTTCCATTATAATTATTGGATGGTTCTGGTTGGTGTTTGGATGAGATGGTATCAGCAAATCTTTGGGATGTCAGTGTGTTTTAATTCTGTGACCATTGCTAAACTCAGACTTTTATTTTTATGTAAGACTGTTAATATTGCTTAGAATAGTTACACCTTTTACATTCAGTATGTCTTCTGCTATCAAAAAAAAAAAATTAATTATATGTTTTTTTGTATTTTGGCCTAGAAACTCAGACTTTTATTTTTATGTAAGACTGTTAATATTGCTTAGAATAGTTACACCTTTTACATTCAGTATGTCTTCTGCTATCAAAAAAAATTAATTGTATGGTTTTTTGTATTTTGGCCTAGGAAGAAGAGGATGAAATGGACAGTTATCAGGTAAAAATTCAAAATTCTCTCCTACAGATGCAAAAGTTTTCAGATTAAAGCATATTAGAGGAGGAACTGAATGTTCTTAGGGATATTCAGATGTTTTGGGGGTTATGTAAAGGACATAAGCACTTGAAAAAAATCATTTTAGGGGCACATTTGCAGATGCCATAAGAGTGGGATGGTGTGGGGTAGGGATGGATTCCTGACATGAGGCTGCTAAACACTGAGGGGAGTGGTGAGGACTGGGGTTTCCAGCTCCAGTGGTTAGTCAGTTTTGGAGTAGTTAGGTGGTGAAGAATTATATAAAATGAAGGGTTTTTTTCAGCTGGGTAGTACAGCAAAAAAAGCTAAAGAGTTGGCAAGCAAAAATACTTCAAATAAGATATGGAGAGTTCAAGGTTTACATGTGTCTTCGTCTTCTGCTTGGGTGTAGGATGAGCAGAAGGGTTTGTAGAAAATGTGCAAACCACAGTCAGGAAACCTTGGCTTTCCTGGAGCAATATTTAATGTGGTTTTTTAGGACATTTTTTTTTAATGTGTTTTTTTATTTAATGTGTTTTTTTAATGTCCTCTTTTTAGGACAGGGACTTGGAGAGGCTCCGTCGGAAGTGGCTCTGTGCCTTAACAAAGCGCCAGGAGTACCTTGATCAGCAGCTGCAGAAACTCGTGGGGAAGCCTGGTAAGGAAAATGCTGTTAAAGGCAAAAGGTTGAGAGATGGGCACACATTTTTATCTCAATATGTTGTCAAATTTAGAAAAGATGTTCATGGAGAGTTGGAGCTCTGAACTCAGCAGTAATTTGCTTTTTTGGGGTTGAAGTTACAGTTGGAGAAGCTTCTATGAAATTGTTTGTTGTTCTGGGGTGTTTCTTTGTGTGCTGGGTTGTGAGCAGAGCAGGGTTGATTCTGTCATGGGGGTACAAAGTTCCTGCCACGTGCCAGAGGCACTCAGAGCTGCTCTGCCATCCTGACATCTTGCAGATAAAACAGAGGACGACGCGGATCGGGAGGCTCAGCTGTTGGAGATGAGGCTGACCCTCACTGAAGAAAGGAATGCTGTGATGGTTCCTTCTGCTGGCAGTGGGATCCCTGGAGCTCCAGCAGAGTGGTAGGAACATCCATTCCTAGAGGAGGGATGTAAAAATGATGCACAGCCCATTCCTGGCTTTGGATTGTGGCCATTTTTTTTCTCTCCGCAATCTGGCCTCTGTGCACTGCATGAGCAAAGTTGTTAAAATTAGGCCTCTTGCTTAAATTATTTTATCAGGTTGTGTCTCTGAAATCCAGAAATGCTGTTTGGTAAACGATACTGTTATTGATCAGGGTGTAATTATAACCTTCTGAAAAAAGGAATCAATATTTATTACCACTGCACTCGCCATTTAAAAAAATTAGCTAATATGTTAACTACCTAGTTCATTCGCTTAAAAGGCTGCCCTCATCATAAAACTGCATCTCCAGGAGCATTTTGTTGCACTCCTGGTTTGAGAACAAACTCTGTTTAGTCAGCAAGTGTTGCATGTAATTTTCTGAACATTAAAAATAGTAGAGAGCACTAGACTGAGGCTGCTGTGCTGGATCAGCTGTGAGCAACAACTGCAGATAAGAATTCAGTGTTTTTTCACCTCAAACTCATCTTCAGTTGCTTGAAACTTCCTGAATATCTTCTCTGAGCAAGCCTCTGACAGTATTTATTGATGGAATTGAGTGTCATGGACTTTGAAGCTGAAGTTTGTCAGAGCTTCTGAAACATAAAAAAAAAATCAAGTTCTTGTTGGAAACAAATAACTTTCACATCAGTGTGTTTCATTAGGTTTAAAAACAGGGGAGCAGGAAACTTGCTCCAGGAAGAATCTGGTTTGCACTAGAGGAAATGTTCAGTGTGATTCAAGCACTTTATATATTACAAGACTCCAGCCTGCTCTTTTTCCACTATAAATTCACCAGTTTTGGCTCAGTATGTGTTTGGTAAGAAAGAGTAATAACTGTGTGGATGGCAGCATCAGTATTAGTTTAAAAACTTTGAGACTGGCTTTTCTGATTCCCCATTTTCCCTGCCATCACTCAAGTAGAGAGGTTTGCATTTCATGAATGTGTGTGTCAGAGTAAATAAACTTAATTTTGCTATTAGCATTTAGGAGAGGGAAAACACTTCAGAAAGCAGAGGTCAAAGAAGATAATAATTCTAAGAGAGCTGATATAAAAGAAATACTAATTTATTTGAGTCTCTTGGAATCTGCAGCAGTAAATTAAAATAAAGAGGTTTGCCAAGGTTATCAATGGTCTGGCTAAAATTTGCAGACTGAATACAGTGTCCTGAGGGTTTGGACTATCAGGGACGTGTGCTGGGTAAATCTCTCTTACTTTAAATGCCACCATTGTTCCTGTCTTGTATTTTAGGACTCCTGTGGCTGGTATGGAAACTCACATTCCTGTTATATTCCTTGACTTGAATGGTAAGTGATCAGAGTAATTTGGAAACAAACTTTGTCCAGCCAGTGATATTTCAGAATTGAAGCAAGCTCTTAAAATTAGCAGTAGCCTGGAATGGCAGGTGGATTACTTGGAGAAGTGTCCATTTTCCCTGAAACATACTGCTTAATGTTTCAAAATGAGCAATATTATCTATGGGAGGAATCATAGGGTTTTAATAATCCCATGCATCCCAATGCAAGATCCAGTTTGAACAATGCATTTGTCACATGCTCCTACCAAAGATGGGAAGTTGGAACCAGGAAGGTGACAGCTCCAAAGCAATCCAGGGAGCAATCAGTTAAATAAATCCTTGATAGGATGTTTAAAGGAGGGTTAATACTTGGATGAGAGGTGTCAGGTGAAAAGGAGAGGTGACACTCAGCCTGGTGGGAGGAGACCTGGGCTGCAATCCTCTGGCATTGATGGTTTGTCCACCTGGGACAGCACATCCATGGATCCAGTGGCTTCAGAGAGGAGCTGGTTAATAATTCCTGGGGAGGGACTCCAGCCAGGACAGGTTGAGCTTCTCAAAACCCAGATTTAAGAGTTTGTTTAATCATGATCTAAAAGTACTGTATTTTCTCCTGTTCATCCAGCAGTTTATCTTAACAGCACCACATATTTAATGCCAAATGAGCTCAGTGCTGAAAATCCACCTGTGGGCAAGGAAGGGGTGTTTGCCATGGGGGGAGATTCCTGCCCCTTATTAGGCACATTTGAGTCTCTGTCCCCAAATCTCTGTGCACACTTTCTGTATAGAAATGGGATTTTTTTTCTTTTTTTTAAGTGGAGCAATGCAGCTTTAATTTTGCTGGTGAAGTCTGAGTAGCCAAGTTGGGGAGCTGGGGTGAAAATGTGAATTCATGACTTGCTGATGTTTTTTAAAAAGGGTGATTGCTTTGTGTTTCCTCACCTTCCACATCCCCTCCTGTTTGCAGCTGATGACTTCAGCTCCCAGGATAACCTGGATGACCCAGAGGCAGGAGGCTGGGATGCTACTCTGGTGGCAGAGGAAGAGGAGGAGTTCTTTGAGCTGCAGATTGTGAAGCATCATGACAGTGAGGTAAGGGAAGCTGCAGACCAGGAAATTTTTGTCTTTTAATTTTAATTAAATTTTAATTTTAAATTTAATTTTAATTCTTTTTATATGACCACATGTGCAAATAATACATCAAATAGGTCATAAAAGTGATAAAGCACTTGTTTCTCCTGTGAGCAACTGTGTTTTCAAGGAATATTCACTGGAAGTATAAGCATGATTTGGAAAATAGTAAAACTCAAGGATCTTCCTTCATCCAAACATTCCAAAAGCCTGAGATTCAGTTTGTATTTAACACAGCAAAACCCCTGAGTAAATCAGAGTACAAAAGCCCTAGTTGAAGAAACAATTAATTGTTAATTGTTAACATTTTTACCTCTGCATTGTTACACTCATTATCCTCCATTTTGCCACATAACTCATAGTTTCACAACTTTACAATTGTTGGTTTATAATTTCTACTATTAGGTTTAGAACCTCTGACTCATTTCTTAAATTTTGGCTTGTTTTTCTGAAACTTTTTTGATTTTTAGAAGAGCTTTATTCCTGGTAGTTCTGTTAGGGATTTGTTTTTGTCCTGATTTGTATTTAGAGCCTGGAAATTTGGCTACCAGGCCATTTTTCTTATGACTTGAAGATAAACCATTAAATCTTCATTAATACTTATATTTTAACATGCAAGAAGAAAAATTCCAGCTTTTACTGTATTGCTAGAAAGGCTTCAGCAAAGTTATTTCTCAGCTACAGACAAGAGAATTTTTGTGGCATGATGGAAGATTTCCACTGCAATCTCTGTTGCTCTCTGGTTTATCTTAATAAATTAGGCCAAATGGTCCTGCACTTCTGCATATTTTATAATTTATTTGCAATGATCCTGGGTATTCAAAGATCTTTTTTCAAGAGGAAATGTTCCAGATTTTGAGCAAGTTGGCATTTTTAATCCCAACGTCTTCATTTGGCAAACTGATCTTGATTTTTAAATGGCCTCTTCTAAAGTGCGGGGATTTTTTCTTCACAGGGAGCGAAACGGAGAAGCCGACTCTCAAAATTTATGTATTATGTATTTTTGCTAATTATGCTTAATTAATTACAGTTAATTACACACCTAATTATGCTTATTAGAGGATACATTTATTTTTTTTCCCCCTTTTTGCAGGTGAAAGCAGAAGCCTCGTGGGACTCCACGGTCCACGACTGCATCCAGCTCAGCAAGGGGACGGCGGCGGAGGAGAGGGTTTACCTGATTGTCAGAGCCACTGTCCAGCTCAGCCACCCTGCAGAGATGCAGCTGGTGCTGCGCAAGCGCATCTGTGTCAACGTCTATGGCAGACAGGTACAGCTCCTGCAGCCCTTCCCACTTCCCAGGACTCACATTCCCTCCTTTCTCCCCCCATCTCAGCCTGGGTGGAAGCACCGGATCAGCGGCGTCCAGCGAGGCTTTGAGCTGCCAAGTCGTTTTCCTGGTATCCCTTGCATTGTGGATGATTACACAGCTTGTTTTTTAAGGCATCTAAGTGTGATAAATTAATTTTCCTCTTAACCATTAAGTGCTTTCTCACTAGAAAATGAAGAAGAGTTAATTTCTCGTGAGCTCGGAGTTTGTATTTTGCATAAAGGAACTTCTTTGTTTCCCTAGCCCTATATTAAGTCCACACGTTGCTGCTAACCATTTTTATTTACACCTCCAGGTATTTAGAAATCAGCTAGGAATAGTTGGAAGAGAGATCCCTTGTGTTAATTCACCAGAGTTAATCACTCTTGGTCCTTTATGTTTTCCAGCTGGTGCTCTTACAATAATGTCTAGGTGAGAGCAGGGTGTTTGATAAATGGCAGGCAGTGAAGTTGTCATTCCATTTGCAGCATCATGCCCTGAAAATAATATAAATCCTGACAACGATGAGGGAGGAAGGAGTTTGTTCAGCACTGTCTGAGAATCCAGCCTCCCCTGGCAGTGATAATGACAAAGCAGAAAGCCTGGATTGTTATTCTGGTTGCACATCTGTAGTTAAAATCTGAAGCAAGAGCAAAGAGAAGAGGTGTGGTCACACCCAGAAACCCTGTAGGCAATTCCCAGTGCTGGAAGTAGAACCCCAGTTCTTGGTGCTTCCATCAGGCAGAAGCTTTTTCTCAGCAGGGGAAGAACAGTGAATTTTTTGTCCTGTGGAATGGGAGACTGTATTGAACAGATCAATTGAATGTGCCAATAATCACAATCGGGTGAAGTCTTCATCAATTCTGTTTTCTACAGATTTAGTCAGTGCCCTTTTTTACTTTCATCCAACACAGAATCTTTGGCTTTCTTCCTGTTTTTCTAAAAACCCCCGTCAATAACCTTTCCTGGGAGTTTGTCTCAGCAGCATCTTTGAATGACTCATCCCTGCATTAATTCAACAGTCCAGTTCTTAACCCTGCAAGGCGCCAAGTCAGCATAAACAATGACCATGCCCCTTAAATCATTCTTCATAACGATCTCTTTGGTCAAGAATTTAATGTCTGTACTTGTCAATATTCAAGACAAGTCACCTAGGGCTCTGTCATGAAAAAAAAAGCACCTCTAAAAGCAGCTGATGCTTGGTGAAACAGTCACCTTGCAAGGAAGGAATTCATTCCTTCTCTGTATCCACAATAAGCAAGCAAATGATTTTTTCCAAGTTGAAATCTTTGGCTCTTACATGTTTACTGGTTAGACTTTGCAGTTTGGGCTTCTTTCATTGTGAACTGCATTTATTTCAGCTGGAATCTGTTAATCCACAGCTAGAATGTCTTAATCCACATTTTCCTCATGTTTATTTCAGCTGGAACCTGTTAATCCACATTTTCCTCGTGTTTGCTCCCCACAGGGTTTTGCACAGAGTTTCCTCCGAAGAATGTCCCCCCGAAGTTCCATCCCTGGCTGTGGCGTCACTTTTGAGATAGTCTCAAACATTCCAGAGGTGAGTAAGAAATCAGAGTGTCTCAAATTGGCCAAGCCCCTCTAATTTTGTGCTTTCCCCCCTAATCTGGGCATGCTGGCTCTTGCTGCTGCCAGCAGAAACTGTGGTTTGTAAAAGATGGAGCCTGTTCCTTTACATGCTGTGACTTAGCATTGTCACTGTGTATTTTGTTGAGTGAGCATCTATTTGCTCAGGTCCTTGAAGAGGCAGTTTGAAGAGAGATGGGGGGAGGAAAAGAAGGAGGAAAAATGGGCAGGTGAAGTGGCTGCTGCGGGGAGCACGAGAATCTGTGGAAAAAAATAACAAAGTGGCTTTTTCTCAGTAATGTCTTTATGCAGCTCTTGATTCCTGAGCATATTCCCAGTTAGATGCTAATCCTTTCTTTCCAAAGAGATGCTCTATCAGGGCACTTGTGAAAACATTAACACATGAAGAGCCAAAACTCTGATTGCTGCCTGGCTCTTTCATGTTCTGCTGCATTTTGCACTCTGTGTTGAAATGCTTCTCGAGCAATGTTCTATTTTTTTTCCTTCTTGCAGCTCACTTGAAATTTTGTTTTCCTCTCAGGTTAGATAACGCCCCAAATGTGCTCAAGCACTTTTTAATTATGAAATATCTGAATGCAGCCCTTTTGCTAATTAATGGCAATGTCTTGCTGTGAGACTCTCAGAAAGAACCCAAAAAGCCTCAAAACAATAACCACGTACAGCTTGAGATGTCTGTGACAGTGGCAGCAGCACCTGTGCAGGTTACGTGGCACAAGGTGTTTATTTGGATCAGAATCTTAGATTGGGTATTAGGAAGAAATTTAGAATAGATATTAGGAAGAAATCCTTTTCTCCAAGGGTGGTGGGGCAGTGATTGCCCAGAGAGGTTCTGGACTCCCCATCCCTGGCAGTGTCAAAGGCTAGGTTGAACAGAGCTTGGAGCAACCTAGGATGGTGGAAAGTGTCCCTGCCCGTGACAGGGGGTGGAATGGGATGAGTTTTAAGGTTTCTTCCAACCCAAACTATTCCATGATTCTCATCTGCCTCTGAATTTAAGGACAAAGAGTGCTGAGCTGGTGCCATGTGGTTTAAAAATGCATTTTCTCTGAGAGTGAGTGGGAGATTTCGGGTTTATTTTAAAATGCTGCCCTCTCTTTTTGCCTCCTCAGGATGCTCAAGGGGCTGAGGAGCGGGAGGCACTGGCCAGGATGGCAGCAAACGTGGAAGATGCAGCTTCAGCTGACTCTGAAGCCTACATTGAGAAGTACCTGCGGAGCGTCCTGGCCGTGGAGAACATCCTCACCCTGGACCGGCTGCGCCAGGTCTGGCTGCAGCAGGGAGTGCTGAGCACACTGTGTGCCATCCAAACACCCTCCTGAGTGCACACAAGCTACCAAACAACCCCAAAAACCACCCCAGTGCACACCTCAGCCTCCAAAAGTGGGCCTGTGGCAAAGATCCAGGGCAGCAGAGATGTCCTCGCTCAGCTCCGGCGCAGATGGGGCTGGGAGTTCCCTGCTCAGGGCACAGTTCTGGGGGGCTTGGTTTGGTTTTAAGCTGTTCATTGCTAATTCTGGTTCAGGAAAAGGAGTTATGTGGCCTTAGCTTTTGCTTTCTGAAGCTTTACCAATAGTTTTCTGCAATTGCCAGTAGATTTTTTGTCATTTTGCCCACATTCTACTTTGAATTCACCAAAGCCATCCTGCCAATAAAAAAAATACATTGATTGGGTTAATTTTAAGTACTATAACTTGATCTGTTTACCAGGAAAAATACAGGAGAGAAAAACATTTGTTAAAAATTGTTCTCCTGGATATAAATTATGCAAGCACAAAGAGAAAAGTTATGCAAAACAAGCTGGAGCTTGTGCCTGCCCACTATAAATTCACAGGGAAATGTGATGCACTTTAAATATTGAAAGCAAGTTCCCTGTCATTTATAATTAGTTTAAAGGATTAAAATAAGAGCACAGCTAGGAAAGAGAGTCTAAGTCTTTGCATCTCTGTCATCTCCTAGAATCAAGACTGCAAAATCCTACATGTGCCAATCAGCAAAATACCAGATGTTAAAATTTATCCATTGATAATTTTAGCCGTGTAAACTTTACAGACAGCAGCCTGTGCCACAAGGCAGCTCAGAAGCATTTTACTTGTATAGACAAAGCTATCCTGGGATGATCAGAGCTTTAATTCTTGCCAAATACACTCATTTTCTTCGTTTTGCTCTCTGTGACTGCCAGGAAGTTGCTGTAAAGGAGCAGCTGATGGGAAAAGGAAAACTCTACCGCAGGAGCCTGAGCTCCCCCAACGTGAATCGGGTGAGTTTTCCCTGCTGGCATCTCCAGCAGCTCCACTCTTCATTCTCAGGTCCTGGAGTCATGGAACAGAGCAATGAATTTCCTTCTTTTTGACCCCTCTGTGCTACTTTTTTTTTTCCCTGAACAATGGAGATTTTTCATTTCCTTTCCAAGTTGAAGGGGTGGGTTTTTTCTCTTTTTCTTTAGAAGATTTCCAAACAAGTTACAAGTTATATGCTGAAGTCAGTTATGTGCTGAACTTAAGCTTTGTGGCAGTGTTGTGCATAAGAAAAATGAGACTTCTGCTACCCAAAATTTGGAAAGAAATCGTTTGATAGAACTGGTAATCAAACTAACGTCAAATTCTGGCTCCTCCCAGGTCAAGAATTAAATTTTCACCTTTAATTTCTTGGACTGTGATTCTGCTTTCACCAAAGAACTATTTCTTTTTAGTCTTAACTAGTCAAGAGGCATAGTTATGAATTTTTTAAAGTTCTTTTTAAGAAATAATTCTGCTTCTTTCAACTCTTCCAGCTTTCTACAAGCCGCCAGGATTTAGCTCCCCCTTATAACCTGAGCAGCAACAGGGTGAGTATCTGCAGATCTCCTGGGAAGACTGGGGAAAAAAGGAAATTACCCAATTACTCAGTGATTGGGGGCATAAAAGGGAAATATTTATGAAAAATGGGCTACCCCCATGTGCTCCTGGATCCTTGGGACAGAAATAGGTTGGGATGTGCTGCTCTGGACCTATCTGGGGAAGTTCCCAGCCCTTGTCCCAGCCCCTGTGGGATACTCAGGAGCATTGTCCAGCTTTAGAGTTCTTCCAGAGCTTTTACCTGGGTGGAGGAAAAAAATCTGGGAGAAAGGAAGAGTTTTGGGATCCATATCTCAGTCCAAGTCCACCTCTAGACAGAGTAAAGGCTGTGAAGAAAGTCCCTGACCTCCCAGTCATCCTAAACTTGTGGTGGATGATAATCTAGCCCCTTTCACTCCTTAAAAACACCACTAGAGACCCAAAGCATTCCTTTAAAAGGTGAAAAATTAAATTTAAGCTTATTTTTCCAAATCCTAGATCAACTGAAGGATCTCCTCCTGATAGATATTCTGCCCAGCAAGCGTGGAGTCATTTTGAGGGGGAGAATCTGGTGGTGACAAGGCATTTTAATGCATAATGCAGTTGCACAGAATAATAGAATTTTGATGTAGTGCTCCAGCATTGGTTGCTAAATCTGCTACATCTGATCCATGGAGAGAATGCTAAAATATGTGCAGGTGATGAAGTGTTTGTAGCAACTTCTGTTTGGAGAGAACTGTGGGGTGTTTCAATATTGTAAGGTTTTTAAAGCAAAAATTAAAGATTAGGATTCTTAATGATTTCTGTTTTTCTCCTCCCTTCTCCTCAATGATTTCTCTCATTGCATGTTTCAGAGTCCAAAGGTCCCAGCAGAGGTAATACATTAGGTCCACCTAATGAGTGGGATAATAATTTTATCTCACTATAAAGTTGATTTTGCTCACTCACACGCTTTTATTTCCTGCTTTGAAGATGCTGCTGGTGGTGCCTCTTTTGCATAGCACAGAGCAAACGAGTTTTTCCATTGAAATGCTGTCATTAATGCAGCGTGAACTGGTACAAAGCAGAGAACTTTTCTCCTTGGGTGCATCTGATGGGTTCTTACAGAGCTGGAGCTGTTCAGTGCCATTTCTCACAGATTTTTTGGACAGGGTGAAGTCGTTTCAGAAATAACTCCCTCTCAGCTAAAAAAAAAAACCAGACATGAAAGCAAGCAAATATCTAAATATCTTCCAGTGAATATTAGCCTGGAGATGAGATAAACATTGAGATTTTCTCTCTCAAATCTTGCTCAGGCTTTATGGCTTTTATAGTTCAGTGTGAGCAACTCTTGATTTCTGCAAACAAATGACTTTAAAATAACAACTGGCCCAATGGAAAACATGCTTTTCCTTAGTTTTGTGTTAGTGCTCTCAGAGGAATGACCCCTTTTCCCAAGCTTTGGTTAACTGGAATTGTTGGCAGTGGTTTGCATGAGGTTTTGCAGCTCTTGGCCATGGCTGTAGTTGCTGACAGAGACTCTGTGCTGCAGGAATGTGGAGCTGAGGTGGTGGAGCTGCTCCCCTTGCTTGCAGTGAGCTTCAATCCAAGGCACTTGTTCCTCAGAACATGGAGATGGGACCTCCCCAGCTGGAAATTCCTGGTTTTGAGGGGATTTCTGGTTCCAGGCCACGTTGGGCAGGGCTTGGCACAGCCTGGCTTAGTGGAAGTGTCCCTGCCCAGGGCAGGGAGCTGGAATTAGGTGACCTTTAAACACTCCCAACCCAAACTTGTCATGCAGTGATCCAGTTTCAATAAGAAGATGAGCAAAAGCTTTTGTAATCCCAATGAAATATTTAACAGATCCTTAAATGTCCCTATAGCACAGAGACACCACAGAGCTCACTGGTGAGATCAGTCCTGTCCAGTTCAGCATAAAGGACCTAAGAGGAGCTTGACAGGCAGAGTTTTGGTTAAGCTGGATACCTTTGTCCCTTGGTGAGAAATTTGGTGGCAAAGGAGTCTTCTCCAGCAGTCATGGATTGTTATTTTATTGCCATTTTACCAGGAATTTGGTGTTGTTTATTATAAAAAGCCAATTCCAAACAAGTGATTTAATGTGTCACAGGAAAAAGCAGTCACAGGACACTAACAACACCTGAACTGGGTGCAAAATATGGATGGAAGCCCTTTGCACATCCCAGAATATTCCTTTCCTTAACTTTTATTCCATTTCTTTATTTCTCTCTGTAATTGTTGTTCCTTGCACCCCTACTGCCTTTACCATGGATTTTTAGCTTTGTGGAAAGGGCTCCTCAGTCTCATTCTTCTATGTCAAGCACCATCCATGCTGGTAAAATTTAGGATTTGCTTCATTCTCCATCACTTAGAAAAGCCAGGGCTCATTCCCCTGGGAAAAAAAATATTAAACAAGAATATTATATGAGTTGAAATAAGAATTAAAGATGGTGTCAATAGAGCTACAACAGGCAGCTCAGGAATTTCAAGAATTAAGGCATGGATTCATCTTGCAGACTTTGGTAGTAAAAGCATGGATGGGTGATCACATCCTCCTGAAGAGCTGGAAAGGTCCTTCTCCAGGACTGGAGCAGAGGTGTGGGACTGGCACATTTTGGGGAAAAAAACACTTTAAAGAGTATCCCAGTGTGCTGAGAGCACAGAGAGATTCTAGGGAGCAGGATGAGTCACACTGAGCTGTGCATTCCTGGGGAATATTTAAGTCACCATTGGGAATTTTTAATTTCTGAATTTACTTCAGTTGAGTTTTATGGACTTACTGCACGTGGCCTCACCTGTAGGTTCTGTCTGCTTGCTTAAATGAGAAAAAGGCAATTTTTATTCCTGTTAAAACTGCAGATGTGGTTAGGGAAGGCTGAGATGATTTTGATTTCTCCTTGCACATCAAGTGATGCAGGGGTATTGAGTGTCTTAGTCTTGATATCAAATACAGGGGGTGAATTTTCATATTCAAGGGGGCTTTTGCTGGAAATTTAATTTAATTTATTTCAGGTGGATGCTGAATTTTTAAAAACTGCATTGACTAAACTGGATGAATCAGAGGCACAATGAGTGGAAGGCACCTCTGAGGTGTTTTACAGATCAGACTAAATGACATACTGATGAAAAATACCACAAGTTGCTCTTAAAACACCTCTGACAAGAACCATTTTGTCTTGGACAGTTGTCCTTCCTTTCCCAAAGACCTAGTGTTTATAGCTGAAAATCCAAGTAAGGCTAGATGGTGCCATTAAACCTTCAGGTTTTTCTGGGAACCAAAGTTTTTCCCAGCAAATTGATACTGTGTAGATTGAACTTGAATAATCCTGCTGTTCATGAGAACAAGTGCCTTTTGTCCCAGCTGTGTGTCCCAGCTGTTTGCTTGTGTTCCAGTGCTCCTTGGTCACCTTTTCCTAAGCCTTTTCTGAACTGCTGAAATAATAAAACACAAGAATTATTCATTTCTCTTACCCAGTGGCTGCATTTTAATGGTCTGTCAACTTCAAGGAAAGATTTGTCAGGTAAAGCCTCAGATGACTTAGGTAGTGATCATCCCTTCCTGCCCTAAAGGTTTTGTGCATGAAATAAATCCCCTGGGGTTTTTCATGGAGGATGTGTGAAAGAAGGGAAGGCAGAGGAGAAGAAGGAGAAGGTTTTATGAAAATAAACCACTTTATAAACAGCTCTGCATTAAAACACATCAAGGGACATGCATTCTTCTGGTGGCTACTTGGATTTGTTAAATTAAATCACTTGACCTCTGTTTGGTCACTTGGCAGAGAGCAAATATATTCATGAAATGATGACTCCTCTGGGCAAATGATTTATAAGCTTTCTCTTTTTCTCTCACCACCCTTCTTGAGAGAGAAAAGATTCACAGCACTTAAATAATAATAAGAAGAATAAACTTAAAACTTGTAGTGGTGCATGCACAAAGCAACACAGGAGAGTCTTGGATGACATCCAGATGGGAAACTTGGGAACTTCATCAAGTTAACATAGTTAATAATTATTTTAGTGAGATTGACATGGGTTATCTTTCAATCCAGCTTAGTAAAATCATTCATTAATTACCTTTTCCCTCTGCAGAGTACTTGACACTTCCAGTTGTCTCCAGTATTTTCTTTTCAAAATGTTTCTCCACCCATTACTAACCTAATTTTGATGGTTTGTTTTCATCTCAGAGTTGAGGGTCCCAAATCTGACCTTTAGGCTAAAACTGATCTCTGCACTCTCTCCAAAGCAAGCGTAATTCAAAAACACAACATGCCTTAAGTAAACAACCACACAAATCCTTTTCTCATTCCTGTTCTCAGGACCTTAATTTTATTTCTCCTGGCAAAATACTTAAAATTATTTAGAAAATGTAGTCATCTATAGTATCAAGGCTGAAGCAAAATTTCTAAAAGATCCTACGAAAAAAGCCTTTTCCTACAGAAAAAGTCAACAAATGGTGCCATTCTTTCTGTGCAGGATGAATATTCTGAAAGGGTTCTGCTGGTTCTTACCTACTCCAATTTTTCAGCATTCCCCAAACAGGGCTAGAAAGTCAAGATATTGCTTGAAACCATTTTACTCTTGGAACACTCAGTGAAGGGCACTTCTGACTCCACAGATCATGACTCAGAAAATTATTTAGTTGCTCTTTACCTGCACTGAGTCCTTGTTCTAGTAAGCTACAATACTCTTGAGTATTTGTAATATTCTTTCTATTTATTCTTCTTCTGTGGCCTCCAGAAGCACTTGGGCTTGGCTCAAGATGTGGCACCTCGATCCGTTTGTCTTTAAGTGGATCACTATCCCAAGATCTGAAAGGATCACTAATCAAGCTTTATATTCTCAAAAAATAAAGCTTTCAGATGCTTGTCACTCTTCCATAGTTCTTTTTCCTAATCCAGTGCCAACATCGACCAGGCTGATGGCAGACTAGGCCAGGAGGCAACAAAACCAGTATTTCAAGATAATTTTGAGTCTTGTGCTATTTGGTTTGAGTCTTCTGTTTTTTGTTAATCTCTGCACGTGATAAGGCCACCTGTGAGAAATCTGCACTAATAGAAACACAAAAGCCAAAAAAAAAAAAATTTGGGGATGAGGAATAGGAGAGATGGTTTCGTTTTGTTAATCTCTGCACGTGATAAGGCCACCTGTGAGAAATCTGCACTAATAGAAACACAAAAGCCAAAAAAAAATATTTGGGGATGAGGAATAGGAAAGATGGTTTCATAGAACCATTTTGTGGAATTTTCCAGCCTCAAACGTGACTCTTGGATGTGTGTAAGACATAAATGAGTTGCAGGTCAAAGATGATGCTGGAATTGGAGGCTTATGGCATGGGCAGAGCAGGAAGCTTCCAAGAAGGGCTTAAACATCAAAGTCCTCAAAACCAGCAGACAGACAAACCCCTGCTGCTCCCAGCCTGGCCTCCACCAGCTTCACTTCCAGGATGCCTCAGTGACCTGAGACACCCATCAGTTATCCCAAATTTGTCTGTACTGGCTGTACCTGGAGCAGGAGGGCTGAGGACAGGTCCTGCTCTGCCCAAGTGAGGTTATTTGCTATTCAAAGCAGGAGCAGCTTCCCTGGGACTGACTTATAGATCCAAATGGAAATGATTCTTGCCCTGGGCTGCTCACTGTGACCTTCAACCCAGTGGAGAAATCTATTCCTCCTATCCTGGCTTATTTATTATTTGTGAAACATTCATGACTTCAAGTTGCAGTTAAGATTAGTTTGGCTGCCTGTCATTATTTTTATGTTCAAGGTCAGATTAATTCCTTGCATCCAACGGTGGGGAGCTTCTTGAAAAAGCACATTCCCCCCCTCTTCCTCCAGGAAAAAATATACTAAACTTATGATCTAGGATGCAGCAGGTCCTTCCATCCCTTGTAACTCCTGCTCCTTTTTACTGTGAAAGTATTTCTCTTCCTGTTACATCTTTGAAAACACAAGCAAAACTCAGGGTACAATAAAATCCAGATTTTGCACCAATCATAGCAAAACTCTTCACCAAAAAAATAAATGGGATTAGACTTCAGTTTTTATCAGGGATTAGACTTCAGGGTTTTTTTGGCTGCACCATCCTGTCCTTGCAACTTCTGATTGTGGAAAGATGAAGCTTTGCAAGCTCGTCCTGAGAATATTTTGTCACCTGAACAGGACAACACTTTCCCACAAGATCCTGAGACTTCTTGAAGAGTCTGAGCCTGGACTTTTTTGACCCATAGGCTCATAAATGAGTACTGAGTTGCCTTCAGGTCTCCTATAAATGAGAAGGAGCTGCTTTGGCAGTTTGATTTTGCATGTGTGCCTCCCTCAGACATTTTCAGGACAACCCCATGGAATTTTGGTTTCCCTTCCAGCTCTGCACACTTAGTTTGGTGAACCAAAACCAAGCTCTGTCCTGCATCCATGAAACTTCCAGCAGAGCCACACCCTGGCCAGTCACTTGGAGTAATCATTGCAGACAAATTTATAAATGATTTTGCCTAGCAAGATGAGAGAATTAATAAAAAATTGATTTGGACACACAGATTCTTGACACTCACATGCTGCTGTGAAACAGTGGCTTGGGGTTTCTCTCTGTTAGCCAAGAGGTTTTGTCACTGGGCCAGTTTCTGGCTGTGAGTTTGAGAGGAAAGTTCCAGAACCACAGTGGGCCTTTGTAAAAGCAAGGGAAATCATCCCTGATGTGTAGAATGGTGTGTGGGATCCATGGGAAAACCCAACCAGAGAACCCTGGGATCTTGGGAAGGCAGAGGAGCTGCTCTTTTCTCTGTCACTCGTCTGCATCAGGCTTTTGTAGGGCTGAAAAGAATCTTGTTTCATCTTCAAAACCCTAACCTGTCCTAATCTTTTTTGTGGGTCCTGCTATCCACAGCTTGGATATTCCAACTTTCTCTTTCCCAGAAAACTTTGCAGTGCCACAGTTGCTTCCTCTTGATCTTCTCCTTTCTCTGACTCCAGGCACAAACATCCAGCCTTTAGGTCTTGTATTTCTTGTCTTGTTTAAAGCTCTGTCCTCACCCTTTTTCCTGGCACTACTCTTGAGTAGATACACAAAATATTCAGGAATTTTGGGCAGACAGCACCATATTATTTTCACCTGGTTGTAACCTACTCAGCTTCTAAAACACAGCAGCACAAGTGAGTGAAATATTACAGCTATGAGATCTAGAATTAAACTTTTTCTGTGTCTTTATGCTGAGGGTGCTCATCTTTGCAGGGCTGGGTCTGCCAACTAAAAGCACCTCTGGGGAAGGGTCTTTCCTCAGCTCTGGCACTCTGAGCTTGGCAGAGGGGGTGTGCAGGGTGTTTTGGGATTGCTGTGCTTCTTCTGTTGTGCTAACTTGGAAAAACGCCTTTTTTTTTCCCTCTAGGGTCGATGGGAGAGTCAACAAGATGTGTCCCAAGGTGCCACAAACTCCAGTAGAGGCATTAGTCCATCTCATACCTCCCTGCCAGGCTCTGGGCAGCAGAACCACTCCCCTGATCCAGGTAAGGCTCTTCTTAAACTCAGAAAGCTCCCCTGATCCAGGCAGGGCTCTTCTTCAGCTAAAAAAACTCCCCTGATCCAGGTAAGGCTCTTCTTCAGCTCAAAAAACTCCCCTGATCCAGGTAGGGCTCTTCTTCAGCTCACAGAACTCCCCTGATCCAGGTAAGGCTCTTCTTCAGCTCAAAAAACTCCCCTGATCCAGGTAGGGCTCTTCTTCAGTTCAGGGAACTTCCTAAATATGGGATGAAGTCACTGCAGCTCCTGAGTGTCACTAAAAGTCAGAGAGTGCTTTCCCTTGGCTAATTCTTTGACCACAGAAATCATCTTAGACTAAAAAGAAGGTTTTAAAATTTTTTTTATAGAGGGTTTTGGGTCAGCTTTGGGGCTTTTTTCCCCCCTTTCTCCAAAGAAGAATTCTTTGCATGTGTGAATATTTTGTTTTTCCAACAGGTATTGGTAGCCTGGCTGCTTCCTACCTGAATCCTGTCAAGTCCTTGGTGCCTCAGATGCCAAAGCTGCTGAAGTCCCTGTTCCCTGTTAGAGATGAGAAAAAGGGCAGGCAGAGCTCTCCCCTTGCACAGCAGGTAAGGCATTAAATCACCCACAAAATCCAATACTGGTGAGTGCTGCTGGGCTTGCTGGCAGAGAGCTGTTTTATAAAAGTTGTTGCAGAGCAAACCAGGCTTTTAGGCACAGCAAAGCCTCGTGATCCATTTCCCCTCCATCCTGTCCAGGGATAGTGGAGCTGCTGGAACTTATTGACACACACTCAGCCCACACTTGGCTCTTTACAAGTGCCAGCTCCACTCCCAGGGTGATTTATGGGCCTCCCACTCGCAGCAACAATGGTAAAATTTATGAAGGGCACTTAGTGTTGTTTGTGTATTGCCAGGAGGAAAATGTAATTCTATTTTTAATTCCCTATTTCATATCCTCACCCCTCACCCAGCTCGTGTCACCTTTTACCATCTTTCCCTGTGTACTTGGGGCAGTTGCTTTTGTTCATTCTTATCTACTCCATGTGTCAGGGAAGCATTTGATTTCCTTTTTTTCCTTTTGTTGTGCTGCAAAGTTCCCATCTGCTCCAGATGTGGCTCCTGTGCTCTGAGCAGAAGTTGATGCAAGTCAAGCTGACTGGAAAAACACTTCTGTTTTTTAAAAAAACACCAGATGAAATAGAGAATCCCATTATAAATCATGTAATCTCCTCTATTTGTGAGGAATATTTATTTACAAAGGAATATTTCCCTCTAGAGTAAATGTTGAAGGTTTAACAAACTGTTTTGAAGATGAATCTGGAGCCAGATCTCGTGTGAAAGTTTTTGGGATTCCATTCTGTCCATGCTGGCTCTGCTCTCACCCTCTTCCCTTTGCCTGGAGTTCTGGAAGCTCATTACTTACCCAGATCTCGTGTGAAAGTTTTTGGGATTCCATTCTGTCCATGCTGGCTCTGCTCTCACCCTTTTCCTTTGCCTGGAGTTCTGGAAGCTCATCACTTATTAACTCAGACTTTTCTTCACCTCTTGCCATGCAGGCAAACATTTTAAAGAATATCTTCCTCCAAACAAACGCTAAAATCCCTGAAAAACTCTTTTTTTTGGTGGGTGAATCCAGGTCTTTTGTTTGCTACCACTAAACTTGATGTTACAAGAACATCCCAGGAGTACAGGAAGTTGTTTTGATGTAATAGAAATACAGTAAAATATTAAATAGATAAAGCAAAAATAAATCTACTAACACTTAAATATTTTTAAAAGAAATTTCTGCCACGTGTAGCACAAATAAGAGTGAGGCAGTTTTAAAATATTCTTAGCTTGATTGGGGATTCATTTTACATTTTAATCTTGCCTTTTGCTTGGTGCTGAGGCTGGAATTGTACAAACCCCATCATCTATGAACTGCAGAGAATTAAAATGAAGGTGGTGACTTTCTTTAAAGGTATTTGGGTATGGAAAGATGCAAATAGGTGCTCTTACAATTGCAGTGAGAGCCTTTCACACCTTCTTGAATCCTCAGTGAATCAGTGAGAGCTGAGAGGAGGAACGAGGCCTAATTTCCTGCCTCTAGTCTAACCACCTGTTCCCACTCCTTTCCTGTTCAAGATCAGTCGTGGATGATTTCTCTAGAAATCAAGTTTTAAACTGCAGAGACATCTCCTCAATGAGATTTTAGTTTATGGTATGGATTACTATGGAAAGGCAACCAGGTCGTGATCTCAGTGATTTTTAATAGGAGGGGAAATGCTATTAATGCTCTGTCTTTTAAAAAATAAGAGGAGTAGGTGATGCTTCAGTGCTTGCACTGGAGAGCAGCCCAGGGTTTCCATGACCAGTGGATCTGTGTCATGTAATGAAATGTTAGAATTATTCTCTACTTTCAGGTTTTACAATGGAACAAATCAGCTGTATTCCAATGTGCCTCCCTGGTCTGAGGGGTTTTACAAATTCCTTGCAGCTCCATCCCTAGGGAAATGGGGCTTCTTCACTGCTGTCAGCAGTCCCAGGGAATTGTGGAATATCCTGAGGTGGAGAGATCCACAGAGGTCATTGATCCAGCCCCTGGCCCTGAACAGACACCCCAACAATCCCACCCTGTCCCTGACAGCGTTCTCCAAACATTCCTGAAGCTCTGGCAGCTTTGGCAATGTCACCATTCCCTGGAGAGCTCTTCCAGTGCCCCAGCACCCTCTGGGGAGAAAACCTTTTCCTAATCCTAAGGAAAGATGCACAGAAGAGAGAAAAAACCCAGAAGGAATTGCCCCAGAATCAGCTCCAGCTTCTTCTGTGCAGCACAAAAATAAAAAGGTGCCTTTGCAGCGAGTCTGGCTTTTGAAGATCATCAATATCCCATCCCATCCCATAATCTCCAGTGCTGCTTCTTTCTAATGGCCTGAGGATGCAAATGTGGGCAGAGGAGTTGAGCTGGGGGTGGTGATGGATGGCTGAGGGACAGGGAGCTCAGGGGTCACTCCGGGCAGGCAGCCAGGAGCTCCTGTGGAGCTGGAGAAACTGTGCCACAGAGGGGACACCAAAATTCATCTCTGATAATTTTTCTGAGATCTTTCTCAGCCCCAGGGAATACAGAACAGCACCTCTAGGGCTGTGGGAGAAGGAAATTTCAGTGCACAGTGGCAGGGGACATCAATGAACGTGCAAGGTGGGAGAAGTGTTTTTAGTAAACTAAAAACCTGTAAGGGAGAGGCAGAGCCTAAAGGACTTTTTTGACTTCAAATGCAAAGGAATCTGACCCTTAACTGGGAACTGCTGGAGTTCTGTTGCTGTAAACAATAATTTGGGAGAGCAAGGTTCAGGAATAGAAACGACAAAGGGGATGGAAGGATCTGAATCATCCTTTCCTGGCTGGGAGCTGAGATATGGGGAGATTCAGGTTGGATTTTGGGAAATGGTTCTTCCCCCAGAGGGTGTCAGGCACTGGAACATTCCCAATGTCACAATGGTGACATTCCCAAGGCTGCCAGAGCTCCAGCAGGGTTTGGACAATGCTCACAGGGGTGCACAGGGTGGGATTGTTGGGGTCTCTGTGCAGGGCCAGGGGTTGCACTGAGTGATCCTTGTGGGTTCCTGCCAGCTGAGGATATTCCATGATTCCATGAAAAGCAAATTTCAGAGGAGCAGGACTGAACCTTTTCCCATGTTTGGAGCTGAAGTTAAGTTCACCATGACTATTCCAAGTGGCTGTGGTACCAAATCTCTGACCCTGTGCTGGTAAAAAAGGAGATCAGTTCTGATCAGTAATTATAAAAATACACTTTAAAAATTATTTCAGCAGCTTTTTATTTCAGTCCTGCCCATTGCTTGGAGCGGCATCAGCATTAAAGTGGGCGAACCCACACAAAATTACCTGTACAAAGTGATCTCTCTTGGTTTGGAGTGTTTGCTTGTGATTCAAAAACAACAAAAAAAAAGGCAGAGACATCCCTGTCAAGGTGGTGGCAGTGAACAAAATTGCTGTCTTTGACCTTCTGCTGCAAGTTTAGTAACTAATCTGGAGAATAATGAACCGCAATTAATGAAATCTGCTCTCGTATTCAAGTGTGTTTCTCAGACAGCACATAAAATAATTGAAAGAACTTCCTGCTCTCTAATTAGTTAGATTGAATTAATTTGGCATAATAGGATTCTTTATGTAACTCGCAGAACGGCTTCCGATGAAGCTGTTTATGTACCTAAAAGATTGGGTTCTGATGAAGCTGTTTATATACTTTAAAGTTAGAAAATGCCTATTTTCTCCTTTATCTGCTGCCTTTAAATTAATTGCTAGTAGTCTGTAAATAAAAAAAAATTTTAAAAACCAACAATTTAAACCTTTCTCGATGGCTGGAATTGCTTTTTATTTTCCCAGCCTATTCTTGAAAAAGCTGAGAACCACAGAGTGCAAGATTTGAAGTCTTCTGACCCTCTCTGCTGATGAGGAGAAGCTTAAAATCTTTGTGTAAAATATGCAGGTGGAGGGAGAAGCAGAGTTTCATCTGTTTGTGCTTAATTATATATGTAGGAATTGAAAGTCCTCTTTTTTATTCACATGCTGGGGCTTTCCCAGTGTGCACCAAGCAGAATTCCTGTTCTTTTCCCCTGTGACCCTGTGTCTCTCCAGGAACTGCCTGTGTAATCACATTTCAGGGCATCACTGGGTGCTGACATTAAAAATGGTCATATTCAATTCCAGTTTCTGGGTTTTTGTCATTGCTGTGGCAGAAGGAAATTCCTGTGGCCAATTTGGTGAGTGGATTTTGGTCACCTTCCTATCCAAGAATCTTTTTAGATGCTCAGATGTCTTTTTGTTAGCACATGGCTTGAGAGAGAGATCTTGAGTCAGATATTTGTTTAAAATAAAAGATAAACTCTTTGAATTTCCATATAATTCATTTTTGCTTTATGGTGTAGCCACATGGAGAGGGCAGCTGTCAATTGTTTCCCTTCCACCTTCTGATGCAGACATGGAAATTAATCTTAAAAACTAATGAAATGCAGTTAATGAAAGGCTTTCTCAATAGACAAAACCCCTTTTCTGGCAGTCCATTAAAAAATAACAGTTTCATGGATGGGCCTGGTGCACAGTATAATTGCTAGAACTGATATTCCTTAATCAAATGTAAATAATGTGGCCTCAGAGAACCTTCTTTAACATCTTGAAGGTTTTTTTTTTTTTTCTTCTTCAGAGTTTCAAGTGAAAAATCATTTGGATGCTGCAGTCAGCAGAGCTCCACAGCAGAGCTCGTGTGTCTCCTTGTCTCTCAGTTTTTGGTGTTTTGATTTCTTTCTGAGCTTGGTTTTCCCTGTCATCCTCAAATACAAATAGTTTTGATGAGAATGAGTGTGGAAAACTGGCTTTGGTAGTTTCAAAACACTCAAATTCCTTTTTAAACTAACTTAAAAATGGGTATGAATTACTCTGTTAATCTGCCAGGACCTAGAAATGAAGTTATTGAGCTGCATGGGAAATGGTGGGGTTAATTTTGTATAAATTGTACTAGAAGTGGGGAATTCTGATTTCTTATTACAGGCTGAAACATTTCACCTAGAGACTGTGGAATAAGAGGGGGTTGTTTGGGTTAATATTTAAATACAGAGTGTGTTTAGAGAAGAAAATGAGCAAACACCAAAAAAAGCCCAACAAATTAACTTGCACTGGATTTCAGATCTCCTTGTGGAAGGTGGGAGATTCTGTATTTGAGTGATTAATGACTTGGCAATCAATTCTAAAATCATTTTCAAGAGGAATATTGTTGGGGCAGGGGTGTACCTTTTAAAAATGGAATCTTTTCTTTTGGGCTGTGTCCTAGGGAATTTGGAATTCTCCCTGCATTCCCATGCACACCTCGTGGAAATATTTTATCCTGAGTGCTCCAGACTGATTTAAATCTCTGTTTAATGAATTTAAATCTCTGTTCTGCTGCAGAAGTTCCCAGTAGCTGCTGTTAAATAGTGATGGGACCATAGCACTGTCAGTGGGAGGCTCCTTGGGCTCAGCCCCTCCTGTCTAGGGATGGGAAAGCAAAAAGAACAGTGGAAGTTTGGGATAAAATCCCTTTAGGATTGTATCAACCTCGGCTAAGCCACTCGTGGCATTCACAGGGCAATTCTTGGCTGCACTGGCCTGATTTGTTCTCCTAAATGCCACTGAACTTTCTGCATATTGGGTGTTAATGCTGAGGGATTTTCATCCAAGTGACACGAAATCAAAGGCTTTGCACTGAAGGCATCAGTCACTGCTGCCAGAGGCATTTCACAAAGTGCTTAATGATACAGAAGTGCCAAATGTGTTTTGCTGAGCTCTTTGAAGAGGTGGCCATTATATAGATGTGGAATATATGGGATGAAAAAATGTTCATTCAGGATTAATGTTGGTGCCTCTGTAACTGGGGAGAGACACACAAATGCTTTTCCTCTTCAAGCTCACCAGTGTGGCAGGTTGGGCTCTCCTTTGGTCACCTCAGAGATTGTGCAAAGTGACCTCTCAGTGAGCAGAAAATGTCAAAAAAAGGATCAAAGGTTAATAGAATCACCGTGGAATCCTGGAATGGTTTGGGTTGGAAGGGACCCTAAAGCTCACCCAGTTCCACCCCTCTGCCGTGGGGCACCTCCCACCATCCCAGGCTGCTCCAAGCCCCATCCAACCTGGCCTTGGACACTTCCAGGGATCCAGGGGCAGCCACAGTTTCTCTGGGCACCCTGTGCCAGGACCTCCTCTCCCCCACAGCCAACAATTCCTTTCCAATATCCCATCCAAATCTCCACTTTCTTAGTTTGAAGCCACTCCCTGTGTCCTGTCCCTCCATCCCTTGTCCCCAGTCCCTCTCCAGCTCTCCTGGGGCCCCTTTAGTCTCCTCTTCTGGGGCATGTCCAGCTTTTTACATCCTCACCATCTCCCTGCACAGAGCAGCAGCTCTTAGGAGAAGACAATCAAAGATGCTTTAAAGTGAAAAGCTTTCATGTTCTCCCTCGCTCTGTTTTGTCAGCTTGGTTGAAGAAATTGTGCCAGAATCCATCACTGTAAAAGGCTCGTGGATAAATAGATACATCAAGTTTAGCAGCCACTGCCTACAAACATTTAATGATAGAATTTGGCTCTGGGTGCAGAAATATTTTTCATCCAGCAGTGTCTTCCCAGATAGTCCCAACACTTTGTTTTCAGGGTGCCCCCTCCCCAAGGAATTTGACTGCATTTCATCCCAGGTCTGCTGTGGTGCCCTCTGAGGGGGTTCCTGCCCAGCTGCTTCTTGTCAGCACCAAAGCTGGGAAGTGCCACCCTTCAGGATTGCTTTTTTCTCCCTGTTTTTCTAAACCTTGCTTGGCAAAGTTTCTGTAGTTTGGAAATCTGTCATCCTTTCAGGAGAGGAACTTGATGAGGAGTGATTAAAGCCTAATGGTTTTCTTTCTTTTGCTGTGTGATGCCAACTGGATTTTTAGATTTTTGTAGATTTGCAGGCTGTAAGACTAGAGGCTTTGGAGAGATAAAAAACCCAAACAAACGCTTTATTTATTTGTTTTAAAGGGAGAAAAGGGAATCAAAGGAACTGATTTAACTGCTTTAAATACTTCTCCTTATTTCTGGATAATAAGGCTGGACAAATTTTATAAAACCTAAACTTTGCAGGGTTTCTTCATTGGTTTATTCTCATCCATCTGCTTCCTGGAGCCCCAGGTCCTGACCCAGTGAGGATCTCAAAATGCACAAACCTGTGCACCCGGAACAGAGCCAGTTTGCTCTGAACCCCATTCCAGTGGTGAATTTTCATTTAGCAGGTTTAGGAACAAGCCAAAACCCCTCCTCTCCTGCTTCCTTTTATTGAACTGGAGCTTTAATGTCTTCAAAAAATTTATTTGGTGACCCTGCTGGGGTTTTGTCCATTTTTTGTCTTCTTATTTTCTACCTTGAAGCACCTAGGTTTTTTAATGCCTGGCACAATCTCTGTATAAATAAAAGCTGTTCTTCTCTCCCATGTTTATTCCTCTTGAGGGTAAGATCAGTCATATTCCTGCTTTACAGGGCTTAGAAGGGATGCAAGAGAAGGTTCCTCACTCTTCAGCTGGAAGATTTCAGTGCTGAGTTCTGGGAATCACTTGTCTGGGAGCTGAGCACTGCCTGTGTGTTTGTACAGAAATCCTTGGGGGAAAAAATAATAATAAAAGCAGGCAGCTCCCAAATTATGTAATGTGTCTCCCTTAAGGAGCTCTGCCCCTCAAAGTCTGAACCTGCCCTTGCAGTGCATTATTTAACAGTGCTAAAGAGATTTTTCTGCCTTTTTCTCCTCTCTCCTTCTCTTCATGCTTCCCTTTCCCGAGGTTCTCCACTGATCTGGTGGCTCCTTCCCCTGCTGTGTGACAGCCCAAGCCAACAGCATAACCTCAGATTTATATCAGGTGTCACAATGTGCTGCTCTGGTCCCAGGAGAGGGATTATTTCAAATCTGCAACATAAAAACCTGAATATGGAGCAAGTGAGAGCCATTTATTGTCAGTGCCTGCTTGTCCAGCAGGCAGTGTGAATGTCCTCCTGGAAAAAGGGATGCACAGACCTGGATTCTGCCTTACTTTTTGTGTTAAAGCCAATAATGCTCAGATCCAAACTGAATTTAGAGACTGGAAAAGGAGAAAGAGTTCTGGAGATCAAACCATAGATCCTTAAAGTTGGAAGGGGCCTCGAAGATCTTCAAATCCAGCACCACCCCCATGGTCAGGAGCAGTCCATGTCCTCAAGTGCCACATCCAGGTGGTTTTTTAACATTTCCAGGGATGCAAGGGCAGCCACAGCTTCTCTGGGAAACCTGTGCAAGGGCCTCCCCACCTTCACAGGGAAGAATTCCATCCTAATATCTAACCTAAATCTTTTTGAGCTTAAAACCATTCCCCTCTGCCTGTGTAAAAAGCCTCTCTCCCTCTTTTTTTGACAAACTCCATTTAATGTACTGAAAGTTTAGTTTTCCATCCTTTCATGACCAAAATTTCAAATGCAAGCTTTAACATTTACCAGTTTGCCAATACTTAATCCTTTCACTGAATGATTCTTTTCCATTTCCCTCCCCCCAGGCTGTCCCACGAATTATGGTTCAGTCAGCCAGTCTGGAGGCCAGTGCTGCAAGGATAAAACAGGTGAGCACATCCCAGGCTGTGAGGATACAATTTTTATATTCCCCTGCCAGAGGTGGCCAAAGCCTCAGCTGCTTCAAACCTGTTGCACTTGTGCTGCTGCCTCACTGTGAGACAGTGAAATTCTGCTGGGTGTTTTAGGTCCTGGTAAAACCTCCTCTCCTATTCCTGGTTACACTTTGATATTTGAAAGCATTAGCAGATAATTAGCTGAAATTTAGCTGGTTTGCTGCTTTAAAAGGAAAATTTCTGGGCTCTGACAGTTTCTATAAGCAGGATGTGGCTATTCTAAGTGTGGAGCTTAATTCCCCATTTTGCCATGATACCATGGAAAAACTCTTGGTAAGCTGGAGAGAAAATAGAGCCTGTGATCTCCCATTTTCCAGCAGAACTTCAGTCTCCTGAGCAGCACATCAGCTTCCTCCCACTGTGCTTTTATTGTCTTAGAAAACCTGTGTTATCCAAAGGGAAAATGCAGAGAAAGAGCAAAGCTTCTGAGTCCACATGGACACCACCCTTGCCATAGAAAAGTGAACAATATGTTTTTAATCTGCTGGAATATATTTTTTAAAAAACCTTTTTTTTTTGTATTACATTTTACTTAGCAATAGCAAACCTTTGGTTCTGAAATTCTAGTAATCCAGTCAAATCCCTCTTTCTTCAAATGCTGCTTAAGTTTCCAGTGGAAAAGGCATTTTGGGAATAAGCTGAAAATCCTGTAATTTGGGACACTCAACCACTAGATGGGAGAAATCGCAAAATTGTGAATAATAAACAAAAATGTTCACCTGAGACAGGAATTGTTCAAATCTGCCCTTCTCCAACCTCTTTTTCCACCCCCCTTTCCTATTAGCACTCTCCTCCCTCCCTCCTTCCCAAAGAGATTTAGAGACATCCTAATCTTTTAGAGTACATGTGCTGGCAAAAGATATTGATCTATCAGATTTAGTAAACTTTACAGCCAAGAAATACATCACTGAAATGGGCTGTTAATCTCATGAGGTGCAGTTAATTTCATCCTCTGGAAGTGCGAGGTGCTGGTGGCTCTGAGGTGGGAATGGCATTTGGAAATGGGGACAGAAATGACAGTTTAGGTGCAGGGGGATGATTTATCCACCCAGAGAGTTAAGCCAAATAACTGTGAGAGACTTATGGATCACAGCTGGTTCCCATTCCATATAAATCCTGCTGTTCAAACAGCAAATGACCACTCCTGTAATATAAATAATTCTTCAGTAAATATTGGGGAGCGTATTTCTTGGGGTTGACACTTCCCTTATTAATGGAAGGGAGCGAGCTGACAATCCTCCCACTGACTTGGGATCAGCTTCCATCTTCTGGAGATGGCAGCTACACAGGGATTTATATAAGCTCAAAGCCTTGCTGCTTGCCAGAGGTCTGGGATCTGTGCTTTTAGCCCAGGTATTTTGGATAACACAGCCCCTCTCTCCCCCTGTGTTTCAGATTAACCAAGAGGAAGCAGCAAAGCAGCCACTGGAAACTGTGGCACAGACGCCCGAGGTGGACAAGAGTCTGGAGAAGACACCCAAAGTGCCTTTGCAGCAGCCCACGGGGGACACCCAGCCCCAGGACTGCCAGGAGGGACCTCCAAGCCCCCTGAGTGAAGCCTCCAGTGGGTATTTTTCCCACAGTGTCTCCACAGCCACCCTCTCCGAGGCCCTGGCAGCGGGAAGCGACGCCATGGCTCAGCCGGGAGGTCCAACACCTGCAGGGAGTGACTCCCCTGCTCCTGCAGTGGCTCAGGTCCCTTCTGATGTGCAGGACAGAGCTCCTGAGAGCTCTCTGGCCACAAAGAGGGAGAATCCCCCCACCTTCAGCCTTCCAAGTGCTCCCCCCAGGCCGAGGGACAGCTCTGAAGTGAATGGGAAGTCTTGCACTTCTCCTTGTCCCAGCGAGCAGGGGAACGATGCCTCTGCAGCCACTGATGCAAAACCTCTTCTCTCTACCTCCACTCCAAAGGAGTCAATATCCAAACAATCAGTGGAGTCAGCAGGACCAGCCAGGAAAAAGGAAACATCTACTGGGGCTTCAGAACTGGGGTTTCCCAAAGCTCATCCCGACCTGCCCAGCGCTGCAGCCTCCCCCTTCAAAATCCAGAAGGTGAAAACATCAGAGCTGAAATCCTTTACCAGCATGCTGGGAGCAGACCCCACGAGTTCCCTGGGCACAGAAGAGCAGCAGGAAGAAGAAAAGAGCACCTCCAGTGCCCGTGGACTGAACCACAACGGGTCAGAGACAGCAGAGGAAAAACTGGAGGTGATTTCTGACTCTGAAGATGCCAATGAAATTCCTGAGTGGCTGAAAGAGGGAGAATATGTCACAGTTGGCACCAATAAGACGGGCACTGTTAGGTACATCGGGCCCACAGACTTCCAGGAAGGAACGTGGGTTGGTGTGGAGCTGGATTTGCCTTCAGGTAAAACATCCCCTGGATCAGGTGGGAAGCAGCTGGCATGTCCCAGCTGGCAGAGCTCATCCTAAAGCTGCTCTTTTGGGGGGTTTATTACCCACTGGGGGGTTTATTGCTCATTGCAGGAGGCATTTAGAAAAGGGAAATATAAAAGGTCTTCCCTGCTGTCATCTCTTTCCAAACCTGCTCTCACTCCCAACCCCTTTGAGATCCCAACCCAAACCATCCCTGACTGTCCCTTTTCAGTCATTTCTTTGGCTTCTTACACTGGAAGTAGGAATCAGGATTCCTTTTCCAAGCAGTAGTTGCAGGAGACAGGCCTTGTGTCCATAGGATTCTTTTCTGGGCTTCTGCTGTGAGGATAAGGGTGTTCAAAGCACAACAGGAGTCGTGGGATTTAGCTCAAAGGGACATTTAGGCTAAATGAGTTGCAAATTCTCTTAATAGGTATTAAGAGGTAAGAGGATTTTATTTTAAAGTAAGCTTTAAAATGGCAAAATACTATTTCTGTGTATGTATATATATATAGTGTATGTATGTATATATATATACAGTATGTATATATATATATATAGTTTGTATGTATATATATATGTGAAAAGCAGTAGGAAATTACCATCCCCTGACCACCAGGTCATACAGATAATTTGAGGTTTCTTTCACCATCTCATTTGTCATCCCTGCCTGACTCTTACCTGTACAGTGGAACTCCCAGAATTCAGGGTTTCCAGGATTTTTTTTGGAAACAGGGTGCAGTTCCTGGGGAGGCTGCTGCTGTTGCTGTGCTCTTGATGTGGGAATGGGGTGTCTCCAGCACAAGAGGAGAGGAAGATAATGGCTGGGATTGATCCCTGCTAGAGTCCAAGCTTCTCAACCCCTTTCCTGTCCAGAGCAGGCAGGACTGGGGGAAGTCAGGGAGTGCCAGTGGAAAATTCAGGTGAGGTACAGTAAGAGAGAGAATTTGGGTTACCCAGGGCATGAAAAAGTCCTTATTCCAATCCTTTTAGCCAGTGCAGCATTCCCAGGCTGGGGTGTGAATCAGTTCATCCAGCAGAACACTGTCCAGGATCCAGAGCTCCCAAATCTCCCTGTGCCCCACCAGGTCCTCATCAGAGCTGAACTGGGCAGTGACTTCCCAGCTGCTTTCAGAAAACTCTCTGGAGTTTTCCATCCTGGAAGTCAAACTGGAACTCTCAATCCTTTTGCAAGCTGTAGTAGTTCGTCAGTCCTGCAGTATGGCCTCATTAAAAAAAAAATTAAAAAAAAAATAAAAAAAAATATATATGTATATATATATTTACAGATTCATTTCAATTTTGGAATGTCACCTTCCCTCTTTCAGGCTGCTCCAGTGCTGATTCTGTAACATCCCAGTAAACAGCAGCTTCCATGGAAAACTCAGGAGATTTTTAGCCTGCTGAGGACTCAGCTGCTGATGTTGCTGGAATTTCCCCTCCGCCCCCCTTTCTGTTTCCACAAGGAATAAGATCCTGATTTGTTGGAACATGGCACATCTAGAGCTTCATTTGGGGAAGGTAGTCACAGAGTGGTGTCTTTGTCACACTGCAAACAGGGACAGAACACCAAGGACTTGGAAATCCAAGTCCTGGCCACGTGAGGATACACTGGACCCAACGTGCTGATAGTGGAAAAGAAAAAGGAAACACCCCAAAAGCCAAAGGGGTGACTTCATGTCATTTAAAGAGCTGTTGGACTTTTCCACCTTCCCTTTATGGATGGGAGCAATCCCTGAACAGTTTCCCTGAGAATTTTAAATGATGTAAAATGAGAAATAGAAAGATCTCAACAGCACCAGTGTAGAGAAATTATCCTTCCTGTTCTGTGGAGGGTTTATGAAATGTCAAAAGTGACAATCCTCAACTTCAAACATCAACTCAGAAAGCCAAAAGCTCTTTTAAATGTCTGCTTTTCGTTCCTTCCTGTTACTTTGGTAATAGAAGTGATTATTTACCACTTTTGGAGAAATTATAGAGCAGGTGGGAAGGAAGGACAAGGTGGAGTGTCCCGTTCAGAGTCACTCTCCATGCAGCGGCCTTGCTGGGGTTCAGCAGGGAAGTTTTACCTCCATGGTGTATTTTTAGGGACCAGCTGTTCTCCCTCTCAGCACTTTTTCCTTGCCTCCTTCTCTGGGTGCAGTAGCACAATTTGCACAGAATAAAACCCATTTTGTAGGAAAATACCTTTCCCTGTGAGGGGTGGCACAGGTTACCCAGAGAACCCGTGGATGCCACATCCCTGGAAGTGTCCAAGGCCAGGCTGGGCCTTGGAGCGCCCAGGGACAGCAGAAGGTGCTGGGTTGGATTTATCCCATCCCAAACCAGTCTGTGACTCCCTGATTCTCTTGTCCCAGGCAAGAACGACGGCTCCATCGGGGGGAAGCAGTATTTCAGGTGTAACCCGGGCTATGGATTGCTGGTGAAGCCGGGCAGGGTGAGGAGGGCCACGGGCCCGGCGCGGCGCCGCAGCTCCGGCCTGAGGCTGCAGGGAGCGCCGGAGAACAGGAGGAGTGGGAACTTCTCCGGGTCAGCCTCCAACCTGGCCTCCCTCACAGCCCTGGCCAAGGCAGAAGGAGGATCCACGCTGAGACTGGAGAAGAGCCAGAAAAACGCGGAGAACAGGAAATCCTGGGCAAACTGAGAGATCCCAGCCCAGCAAACGCCCTGGGATGCGGCCGGGGGAGCCGGCGGCTTCGGGAAGTGAAAGCAACCATCCCAACTTCCAGTTGGTGGCAAACACTAATGAAGGGTTTGTTCTCTCTGCTCTGGGTGATTGACATGATAATTCTTTGCCTCGTTGTGGTGCTGGATCCTTCGTTTCCTGTCTCAAATCCTGACGCCTCCGGGGGCAACCGACGGCAGCCGGGGCCGGCGCGCGGCGCTGGGTGGGTGTAATGAGCTCCTTCTCTTCCTCCTTTCGGAGGAAAATTGGTCAAACCACAGATTCCCAACAGCCACAAAATCCTCCCCAGGCACCAGTGCTTCCCTGGAAGTGCAGGGCAGTTCCTGAAGAACCTCCCCACAGTAACAGCTCTGTGGTAATTCCGTAAGAGCTGTGTCAGTATTGTGTAATCCGCCGTGAAAGGGCAAGGTGGGAATGATTCCAGACGGGCAGAAAAGTGAAAGTAGAACTTTGTTTGGAGATAAAAAACCCCCAAAGTCCCTTTATTTAAAGAAGCAGCAGCCCTTGGGTTATGTGGCTGGGACCAGTGCCTGTTTGGATCACTGCCCCGTTATCCCACTCTCCTGTGGAAAGCAGTGTGACCTTCCCCACTGGTTTGTTGGGAATGGGAGAAAGCCCATGGCCAGCTCTGTCTGATTTTTTATTTTTGATCCATGTAATCTTTGCTCTCACCATGACAGGATCCCCTCTCTCACTTGCCCTAGAGTGGCAGGACCTTCTCCTTGGTTCCTCCCTGTGGACCAAGAGGATTTGAGGTGTCAGCACTGAAGTGCTTCCCCATATTTTTGATCCATGTAATCTTTGCTCTCACCATGACAGGATCCCCTCTCTCACTTGCCCTAGAGTGGCAGGACCTTCTCCTTGGTTCCTCCCTGTGGGCCAAGAGGATTTTTGCAGAGGTGTCAGCACTGAAGTGCTTCCCCGTTCCCACCCAGCCTTTGGAGACTCAGAATTTTGCCAAGCAGGGTGTCTCTGTCCTCGTAACAGGATCAATCCAGTCTATTTATTTTTATTTATTCTTTTAAAACATGAAATGTTTGCGCTTTACAATCATCCCCCTGCACAGAGGAGCTCTCCCAGCACCATCCCGAGCGCCGATCCAAAGAGGAGGTGCCTCTGTCATCCCCAGAACCAGCCTCTCTCTTGGAAAGGGGGAGGTTTGGGCTGGCTTTTAGAAAACTTGATTTTATTTGTGGCTGGTTTTTATCTGCCTGTGGCACAGGGGATGTATCCCTGTCCGTGTGTCCACGCACGGATCGGCCGACGCTTGTTTTCCTGTCAAATCCTGAAAAGCCACAGATTTTTCTATCCTGAGCTGTTTATATCTTGTTTAGTCATCACGGGGGGATTGGACAGCCTGAGCAATAGATGTTTTAGCTACGTGGGGACTATTTAGGATGCTAAATTAATGATTAAACTTTAATATCTATCCAGTCGCTGCCCGTGGGTATCCAAGTGCCTTAAACATCTGGTTCCGAGGTCCAAGGGAAAGCTCCATTGGTATCAAAGGAGATAGGGATGCTTAGTGAAGGAGATAATTATGCTGATTTACTGTAATTAATATCATTTATGCAGAAGGAATAAAATTAAAATAGAAACTAATCTGTAGCAGAAATAAGCGGGCTGGGTTCCGATGCAGCCTGCGTAGAACTGCCAGGGGTTGTGTATCCTTCCAGCTTGGTGTAAGTAGTTTCAGTGTTTCCTAAATTTTCCTCAAGAAATCTTAATATAAAATGTACAGAGCAGCTTTTTAAAGATATTTTTAGTGTACAGTTTTCCCTCTTTTTCCCTTTGCACGAAGCTCCTGTCCATCCAACCCACGATGGGGGAGGAATTTGGTAGTAAAGAATTCTGATGCTGAAATCCCGGGTTTTAAAATGAAAACCGGTTTTATGAACACAACCCATACAGTGAAACTCTTCGTTTTGGGGTCTGAGGAGTCTTGCCAATGAAAGACCACCCACTAATTAATTTGATGCCTCTTACACTGCCTTGTTGGTTCTCTGAACTCCACCCTGACCGTGTTTTTAATTGCACTTTGTTCTGATGCGCTGCCGGAAGAAGCTGGTGTGAAGCAGCCCCTCCCCAGAGTTGTGTGTTTTTAGTCTCAGCATTTCAGATACTTGGATTTAGGGATGTCTTTAAAACCCCTCCATCTTTGCTCATTGGCCCCTTTTGGGGAAGATGCAAAGGGAGGAACCTCCAAGTCCTTTTGAAGCCTCTTTTCTTGTGCTGCTGTCTGGGAATCCAGGATTTCCCCAGGGAAAGGTGTCCAGGCTGCAGGAAGGGCAGAGAAGGGCAGGAGCAGAAGGAGCTGGGTTGGTGGTTCCCTGTTTCTGCTGCTGGTTATAAACTCCTCTGGCCTGTTTGGGCTCCAGCCCTGGCTGTGCTTTGGTGTTTGCACACCTGGGACACGTGGCCAGAGGCTGATCCGACTGACCTGGCCTGGATTCCCTCTCCTCCCACCCTCAGTTGTGTTGCAGAACCACAGAGAGGGGTGTGAGGGGTGCTTTGAGCAGCCCACACCTGCTGGGATAACTATGGGATGTCCCTCCTCTGGGACAACTGGTCCTGGAAGCAAATCTGTTCAGTAGGGCTGGGATGGTTCCAGGAATCCGCTGGCACGAGGAGCCTGTGGTGCCTTCATGGAGGGAGGACCTTGCTCAGAGCTCTGTTGGTTTTCACTATTTCCTCTGACTTTGGAAACAAAACCTGTCTTGATATTGCACCCTAAAATCACCACAAGCTCCAGAAAGCCAAAAACATCAAATTTGGCCATGAGGGTGTTCCTGGAGGATTCCCTGACTCTCTCCTGCTCCCTCACAGCTTTCCTGGGCATGTGAGGTGTTTTCTAAAGGAGTTTTTCAAATTTTTGGCACAGTGAGTGCACATTCCTCTACTCAAAGCCATCTGTCACTTCATCCCAGCTAAGCCAACTAACCAGAAAAGAGGTAAAAATCATCATGGAGGTAATAATATCTATTTTTTACTGATAATATTAGCTCTACTCTCAGCCTAAAGGAGGAGGTGCTCTTAACTGGAACCGCCCAGCACTGAGGCTGGTCTGTGAATAGCTATGCAGATTTTTCCAAGATTTTCATGCACTTTATACAGGGAAGAAGAATATTTAATGCAGGAGGGTGTCATTTGTATGGAGTGTCTCATCTCCTCTGGTGTCTCTCGGGGGTTCAGTCCTGCTGGCTGTGTCCCTGAATTGTGGGTGGGTCTCAGATTCTTGGAAAATGGTGTTGGTGGGTTGGAAAGGCTCCATCCCCCCTGTGTTTGCAGGGCTGGGGGTCCCTCCTCCCGTGGGCACCAAGCCAGCTAAGGGGAGGCTGCTCAGAGGGACTTCTTGAGGTTTTCTCAAGCCAAGCCACACCTTTTTCCTGTGTTAGGTTCAGCTCTTGAGGTGTTTTGATCTCCATGTCCAAAATCAAGCCTGTTCACCCCGAGGTTTTGGCCCTTTGCTGTTCCATGGTGTTGTTGAGTTGAGGAAAACGAACAGAAGCAAATTCTGTGTGGTGACACCGCCCAGGTCCTTGAACAGAGGGGTCTGTCCGTGGTTGGGGTGGAAGGTTCAGCACCCCCGTGCTTTCCTACAAAGGCAGAGCCCCCTCATTGCTCCCCACAGCGGTGGAACCCCACCTGAGCGGGGCCTGAGTGTTGTCCAGCCCTGTCCGTGGCAATGCTCCCCTTGTCCCACCACCGGTTCCTCCGGTTCTTTGCACAACATTTCGTTTTCCCAGTGCCTTATCCCGGGGCTGGGCGGCCTCGGGGTGCCTGGATTTTAGGGAATGAGGGGGTGAGGAATGGTGTGGGCCGGTCACACTTCACAACACCTCGAGCGGGGTCACGATCAAGTGTCTTGTTCCTCCATCTCCCGTATCCATCTTTGGTTTCTGCCCTCTCCACCGTTCCCAAACCGCGATCCCGTTGGGTTCCCTGGGAGCCGCTCCCAGCTCGTGTGGCCCTGCCAGGGTCAGACTCTGCAGGGGCTCCGTGTACTTTAAATGAGCTGAAATCCAAAGAGACTTTGTAATGAGCTGTAAAGTTTTTAATTATTTCTGTACCATACTAAATGACTGTAATATTGTATCATACGTGCGATGCCGCCTGCAGGACCTGAATAAACGTCTTCTTTAGAGCCGGGACGTCTGTGCTTTGTTGTTCCAGTTAGTGGCACCAAAATGTTTAGAATGGGAATAGTTTACGTTGGAAAAGCTTCCAAAATTAATTCCAGTGGTTCCCCAGCACTGCCGAGGCCACCACTGACCCGTGTCCCCAAGTGCCACATCCACAGGGCTTTTAAATCCCTCTGGGGATGTGATTCCAGCATTCCCTGGGCAGCTGTGGCAGTGCCTCACCACCCTTTTGGGGAAGAATTGTTTCCTAATACCCACAGTGAGATGAGGATTCCCAAGGACGGGAATCCTTCTCTGCCTTGCTCCAGGTTGATCTGTAGGGAGCTCGGTGCCTCAGGGAACTGCCACAACCAACCCTGCCAAGGCCTTGGGTGATCCCCCCCTCAACATTTCATTGTGTCCTTGAAACCCCCAGCCTGAGCCAAACAATTTCCTTTGGCACCATTTCTCTCCCAAATGCAGCTTCATGTTGGAAACAACAGGCAGGGTTTGACTGGGATTATTTTGTGTAGTTTTTCAGCTTATCTTGGCTTTTTTCTAAAGCAACAAACACCATGTTGATCCCCCCCATCCCCACTGAAACTCAGCGAGCAAAGGATATTTTTATCAGCACTGTCTTGCAATCAGCACACGAAAACAGCTTTTTTTTTTCTTTAAAGCCACTTCCCTTTTATGTTTTACCTTCTGAAAGAAAAAAAAAAAACCCTCTTTGGCTGAAACACAGGAGCTGTTTGAAGCAGCATCACTTTGTTGAAACCTCGCTCTTCCCGGAAGGTGGCTGTGGCACCTTCCCCACGCTGCCACGTTCTGTTCTGCAGCCAAAGCTGGCTTGAAAAGGCTCCCATCAAAAAGAGCAGGAAAATAATTTTTAAAAACCTCCAAAACTAACAAAGAACACCTTTTTTTCCCCCGTTTTCCTTCAAATTAACGCTGCTTCTATCAGCCTCACTTGGCTTCAAACACTTTGCCATGGGAGGCAGCAGCCCCTGGGCTTCACCCTGAGTGGAGAGAGGAGCTGCCCTGCCACGAGCTGGGCTCATTTCCAAGGGGGTTTTGCTCACCTTTGGACACCAACCTGTGAGAAATTATTGGTTTTTCCCTGATCAATCTGGTTTCCCACCAAAGCAGACACAAAGGGCTGAAAATGCAGCTTCTTTGCAAAGCACAGACCTCCGATGAGGATTTATTCCTCTTGTGTTTTTTAAAACATCTCCAAATGGAGCTTTTCTGTATTCCTGGTTTTCAGCTGTGAAGGAGGGAGTGGGCTTCCTCCAGCATCCCAGGTGTTGCAACAGACACCCCTAGAAGTGTTTTTCCCATCCCTGGAAGTGTCCAAGGCCAGACTGGATGGAGATTAGAGCACCCTGGGATAGTGGAAGGTGTCCCTGCCCATGGCAAGGGGTGGGACTGGATGAACTCTGAGGTCCCTTCCATCCCAAACCATTCTGGTATTCCATGATCTCCAGCCTCCTCCCTCCAGAAAATTCCCTCTGCAAACACAGCAGCTGATGATGGGGAGGGTTAAGATAAATTTTATCCCCTTCTTTGATGTCTGAGAGGCACAAGGGACAGCCTGAAAGATGTTTCCACCCCTGAAGTTCATTATTCATCATCTACACCCCTCCAGAGTTGCCTCCCTCCCTGTTTTGGGGTGTCCATCCTGAGCAAACCCCCCAACCACAGCTGCACATCCTGATTTTAACCAGGATGGCAGGACCTGGGCACCATTTCACTGAATAAATCAATTCCTGTGACTTTGTGTCTTCTCTGCCACCTGGCTCAGCTTCCACAGCACCTGCAGGAATTTCTTCCCACTCTGAGGAAGTTTTCCCCCCCCAGCCACCCCATAAACCCTCTCTGGGACCCCCCCAGGCTGCTCAGCCCAAGCAGGCCAGGACCAAAGGGCAGCCACAGCCCCTCCTGCCTGGGGCTCCTCAAATCAGCCCTGGACTCAATAATTCAGCATCTTCTGGTTTTATCACCCAAGGTCTGCTCCCTGCAGACCTTCAGCTGCTTCAGCAGGAGACTTTTATGGCTGGGATGGGGCTCTCAGGGCCCTTCCTGAGGAGCCTGGAGGGGGAGGTTCCCAGAGGGAAGGGCTCCATCCCCAAGGACACAAGACCTTTGTATGACCAGCACTTGTAGCTGTGACCAACACAACCCCAGCCAAAGGAGGGAAAACTCCACTCTCAACATCTCCTTTGAGTGCAAAGAGCTCCAAAAGGTCTCTGGAGTCAGCCCAGGGCTCACATTCCAAGTGATTCCACTGCTCCAAATCCACCACCTTCATCCCTTCCAGAGGGCACAAAGAATCCCTTTTCCCCCCAAATAAATCCAAACTTTCTACATTCTCTTCATTCTCAGGACACATTTTAGGTCTCAGACAAGCCCTGCACAAAAAGGATGACAGAAGAAAAGGGTCAGTGTTGAGTTATACGTTTTTATTTTCTAATAGGTACAATACTAAAATAAACACAAATTAAAAAAAAGTTTTATTAAAACAAAACTGTACAAAAAAGCAGTTATACTACATTTTAATTACAGAACAGTCTACTGTCCAAAAGGCACTAATCCAGAATAGGAGATACAATGATACAGGACTCATTTGAACTATTTTAATCAATACAATAGAGCACTTGTTTCTCTGTCCATTCACATACAGAAACAAGGACTTTTGCTACAGTCATTACACATTGTTATAAATATGAGCCCTACGTAGAAAGGTGCAGTATCACTCTCCCCCGGCCGCGGGTCAGGTCTGACAAAGACAGGGATTAAATTGTTAAAAAAAAAAAAAAAAGGGGGCACAAGGGGAGAGGTTGATGGTTCATTTTCACAGCAGCTGCTGCCAGGGGAAGGTGTGATGGATATTGACCCTCACCTGCATTTGGGGTGGAGGCTGGACCAGTTTCCTCAAGGGGCTGTGGTGGGACTGAAGGTGAAATTCCATCATCTCCTGCCCCAAGCTTCCCATCAATTACTCCATTACATCCTGTTCTATCCAGTCTGCTTTGGCCCTTTGTTTCCCTGGACAGTTCTCTGTGATGGATAAATAACAATTCCCAAGCACACCAAGGTTTCCTACACTGTTCCTTTTCTCCTCACAGGAAGCCATCAGCACCTTGCAGGTCAAGGCAGTGACTGGGAGAAGAGTTTGGAATGTTCTTCTCAACACTCAGTGCTGTCACTGCAAGGGCATCTGAACAGATGGGCCCCTCCCGAGGCTGCTCCAACCTTCCCAAAGCAAAGAGCCAAAGTGCCCCAAAGCCACCAGGGGTGCTGGGGTGTATGTTCCTGAGGGGGCACAGGGAGAGTTACAGCCCATCAGCTCCCCAGCCCTCCTTCCTGACAGCCAAGCCCCCAGGAGCAGCCAGCACGGGGAACAGGAGGTGCTTCCTCCATCCCCCGTGGGGTGGGACTGAGGTGCACCCCTGGGACCACCCCAGCTTCCCACCACGAGGATCTGCTCATCCTCCCTACCAACCTATCCAATCCATTTTTTTTCCCCCAAAATGTCAGGCTGAGGAGCAGCAGCAGACCACAGAAACGTGTCTAGGGAACAACTACAGGCAGAGGAGTCAACCAGAACATGAATATTCAACTTCACCATGAAAAGGAGCCTGGAAATGAAACATCCCATCTTTCAGCTGAACGAGCAGCCCTTAAGATCAAGACCAGGGAGGATCTGAAGGAGGTGATGAGGATGATGAGGATGATGATGATGAGGGGAATCACCTGACTCTCCCTGTGGAGGAAGGAGGTCGGACACACGGCAGGAGAGGGATACTGCACCTTTGGAACAGTGTCATACACATAAGACAAAGACAGGCATCTGGATGTTAACAAAAATAAGTAACAAAGAAATATGATTAAACAAAATCTCTTCTCACATCATCCTATACTACATCCTCCTTCTGCTTAGCAGAAAATTGTACGTACACAAAAATACAAATACACAATTTTGTAGAACAGTCTGATTTTAATATATTTATATATATTTATATTTATATGAGTGGCAGGTTAGTTCATTATATAGAGCTTTTTGCACTTTTGGCTCATATGCAACAAGGCTTTATAAATTCAGCTTTAGCTTTCATTCAGGTTTTATAGCTTCTTGAACATTTGTTTTCACATTTAAAGCAGCATCCAATTTGCAAGAGGAGTTGGTGGTGGCTACAGCAAGGATCAGGTCAAGAGGTTATTTGGGGGCTGAGGGGGAGGAGAATATACATTCCAGTGTGAATGTGAGTGTGAGTGTGAGTGTGCGCTAGTGCTCATGGAAAACCGACCAGAGGGTGACCACACCGCTCCAGGATCCCATGGTTACCTCTTGAGGTAGGCAGGACACCTACAGCAGATGAGACACAGGGCCCAGCTGGGGCAAGCCAGCAGCCGGCTGGGACGGAGGAACGGACAGGGCAGGGACGGGACACGGCTCGGCTCGGGTGTCACGGATGTATCTGGTGACAGAGAAGGGACAGGAGGCAGCTGGAGCCATCCCAGACAGGGGGAGCACGGCTGGCACCCACTCCTGGGTTGAGGGCACGGTGGGACAAAGTCAAGACAGATTTTGGATGTGAGAACCTCCCCGGCCTTGGCTGTTCTTTGTGGCTCTGAGGTTGTTCCACCGTGCCCTCACCCCTGGGTTTGCAACGCTCAGCTACAGCACCCACTGCTGTCACCAACATCCACTGCCAGCCACAAGCACTTCTCAGGGAAAAAAATCACTTCCAAAAGGCATCTCGGAGCAGGGCCAAGGTCTGTGTGTGCCACAGGCTCCACCAACAGTGGATTTCCATCAGGAAATGTCCTGATTTCCATCAGGACCCCAGCAATGGATTCCCACAGGATCACTGCTTCTGTCAACACCCATCCACTCCCGAGAGGCTGAGTTTCTGCAGAGATGCCCTCACAGCTTTTCCTTGCCAACAGTCCTTTCCCAGGCCTTCCCACCTCGGATGTTGTCAGAGTGAAAACATTTTGTTGCTAATGAAAAATAAAA